GGTATTCTTGATTTTCGTCTTATTTTGGCCTCTAGAATCCCCCATTAAAATTTTTCCTAGGGTTGGCCGAACACCCTGTATATACATATATGCACTAACATTTGTTGTATAGAAGGAAATAATCAAAATAAAAAATACATGTCTAACGGATTACATTCGACGCGTATGGATCGAGATAGATTTCGAATCGACCACACCATATTTCATCGTAAAGTGTACGGTGGCGCCCCCATCGCCAATCGACACCATAGACTGCCAATGATTACCAATTATGTAGTTGTGGTTACTCTTTTTTTATCACCGATTTTCAACCAATGCATCCTCAGTTGACAATGAAACATTATCGTCGGTAGAATTTCGAAATAAATAGCGCTCCTGTCTCGAATTCTGTAAATGCATTTGAAGCCATCAATGCGCTGTTAACGAAACAGAGGATTCATTCTCTTCAAGACATTCGCGGAATTACTCGGTGAATTATTAGCTACGACGTGCAAACAGATTGCATTTTAAACGTCTTTTGGCAAACATTTGTTTCATTTAAATTATTCGTGTCTTAATATTTCATTTCGTCGTCGCTGATCGAATGTGTGCGTTCATGAAAATTATCCCAAAAATATTTCTTCACCGCGCAAAACTGCAATAAGATTTCATATTTATACGATAAAGTTCGAAATGCAAAAGTAACGATTCATTTGTCGAATATTTCTCGTTTTCTGATTCCATATCTTGCGAAGAACATGAATACCTGTCTGTCAAGAACTCGAAATTTATGATCGAACTAGATCTTGTGGATTGGTAGACTGCCAATAAACTTTGCTAGACTAGCAACATTTACAAAATCATGTAAAGATACATCTTCGATATCACAATGCCCATCGTCCGAATGCTATAATAAAACCTGTTAGAACGTTTATAAAATTACGCAACTCGTTAAACTAGGAGTCAGTAATTCCAATGTTTACAAAACAAGTGTTAAAAATAGGAAATGATATTTGTTTCGTACAGCAGCACAATGTCGCGCGCCAAATTAATTTTGTGCGAACTGATTAGGGGGATATGCTTGGATGTTCCAATACGATGTATCCGCCAGATGAAGTCTTCGATCTGTTTGATTCGTGCTCTGTGTATTTCTCGGTACTGTTGGTTTGATTTATTGACTCTGCTCTCTGGGCCAAGGTAGCCCGAAAAGCTAACCTCGCCATGGGCGTACCCTAAGGCCATGGGAGGAAGTATCGGTCGCTGATTGGTTTTACATTACTAATACGCCGGCCAATCATTTTGGCGGCGACGTTGGTCGGTGGTAGGCGGCGTGTAATGGTGGTTTTTAATAATTTTTACCTCGCGGGTTTTCCGCTAGGAGGCTACGGGCCTGGGTCAGTGCTTGGTGCCCAAATGTTTCGCGCGGTATCTGAGTCGCCATAAAACATCTGGCACCGGTTGTCGATGTCATTTCAGGTAGTAAAGTCATAGAGCGATTGGATTTGGAGGGCCATGCAGATTTTAAGTGAATTTACTAATTAAATAGCCGCCTTAGGGGCACTAGGTTGCAAGCAAAAACCTTGATTGAAAGGTGTGACTCTACATTCACTGGCTTTATGAATTTACTCGTTACGCTCCAACAATATTATTAAAAATTCGTCGATTCATCGCCGACAAATTGCGGCGTTATGGTGTTATCGCTATCAAAACTGTGACGAAGGAAACAGTAGAGGGTTAGAATGTCATTCGTTGTTTAAATTATGTGTATCATAATTCGTCTTCTTTAATCTTTGTCAATTGCGCCGAATGCTGATTTTACATACATGTGGGTGAAGGAGAATAACGTAGTCGTGTTTTGTTGGTACATCTATATTCGAGCGTTAGCGTCGAACTGCGAACGTCAGAGGTCAGGCCCCGTCGTGGGCCACCTAACCCAAACCTAACCCACGGTGGGTGACCCACGGACGAGAGCCGAACATAGTCGAACGCAGCCGAACACGAAAACGTGTTTACGCCGGCGACTCGTGTGTACGCATCCGCTCGTTGTGAAACTGCGAAATTACGATCAGGTATCACGTATCTCACACACCTAAATTCCACTCGATTAGTTCTTGCTGCTTCACAGACATTCGCCACTGAAAAGTTTAGGAAAAAGAAAAGTCGTGCATTATTGCGTGCGTTGTGCCGCGTGACGAAACATTGGTGAGGGTAACAGGAGAATGATCTCAGTCCATGGCTCCAGACTTGTCAACGTAACGGTTCTTCATCCGCGCGGTGAAATCGTGTCAAGAGCCAGGATCGAGTTTCCCTCGGCTTTTCGTTCATGACGGCTGAAACAATCTGCGTCGTACAGTGGACACGTGACAAGAACTAACCGTCAAAAAACGCGAGCAAAGAAAACTCGTTCGAAATCGCGTCGAACGATCTTTTTATTCGAACGTAGTGATCAGTGGTAATTCCAATAAACGTCGTAGTTAGGGCGTAGTCGACGAGGAAGATGAGTTACTATGGCGATGGGAACTCGGGTCGTACCGATGACATCTTCGTTAAGACAGTCGTTCAAGTCAAACGATTTCTTCCGTCGCTTTTCAACATTAAAGTGTTACGCGTCCTGAAACTCGTCTGATCGGTTTCAATTTTAGCCGAATAATTTCGGCCGCTGACGCATTACTCGATTGCCGAACTTTATTTGGAAGTTTCCTTGGAAACTCGTTTAAAATGAATGTCGCTGGCGCGATAACGATCAGAACCTTAAACAACTGTCATTTGCTGCAATATTTTCAAATGTATCGTGTGATTTCGGGTTTCGAAGTGAACGAACACTTCCCTACAAAAAGAGCGTACGTTATAAATTTTCTAGATATAGGATGTTAGGTCACCCATGGGAAAAATTTTAGTGACGGATTCTAGAGGTTAAAATAAGACGAAAATCAAGAATACCAATTTGTTGATTGAGGCTTCGTAAAAAAGTTATTAACGTTTAAAAATAAAGTGTGCAGCGCGCACGGTTGCCGTCTCACAGGCGCAACTTTAAGCGTTAATAACTTTTTAACGAAGCCTCCATCAACAAATTTGTATTCTTGATTTTCGTCTTATTTTGGCCTCTAGAATCCCACATTAAAATTTTTCCCAGGGATGGTCGAACGTATCTTTGTCTCGAAATTAATACGCGAGCATGGCTACATCGAATATTATAATAAATAGAAATTCATATTTCCGTATATTGTATCATGTTACTAATTCTTGATAACATCCTTTCATTTACCATTGCGTGTATGTTCAATTGTTACGTTGCGTCCTTCACAATACTAATTTACGGATTATCTAGAACACATGATCCCTGATACAGTAGCACACAAAAGTTTCTGGGCAATTTTGCACGCTTGGCGCGACTCTGTTAGGGGACGTTAACATGAATTTCTCCATCATGTACGATTAGATTATTAAAAAGATTTAAGTACGAGTAAAAGTTTTCTTTATTTATGAGGCTATGTACAACTTAAAGTATATTAGTAGTTGAAAAAATTTCCAGAACAACATTTCGTTGTTCGATGTACGAAATCATAAAAAATTTAAAGAAGAAATAACGTCTTAAAATCCTCATATTTTTTGCCATTTCTGCGGTAGCAGTGATGGTGCAACATCGACTCGCCAATTCAATTAACTTGTATAATTAGAATAATATCCTTTGAATTCATTACCGTTCCTTTTATAATTGCTGGAATAATTACCCATCATTTGAATGAATATGTTCATTTGCTCTTTCAAGTGTCTTACAAGTGTTCGTTAGATATCACCTGGCTTAAGTATTAGATTAGAATCACGTTTGTATTAATTTCGATCGATGTGTTTGGTCTTTTGCCCAAGTATTTAATTTAACACTTTGACTGCTACGTCACCCATACATGGGTGACAGGATTTACCATTATGATACTAGAAAAATTTATTCTCAAGTTAAGACGATAAGGGAAATAAATTTGAATAGTATTTGTGAATTTTAAGAAGGTTTCGAAAACAAATACTGAAACAAATTTTAGGTTATGTAGCTTACAGTTTGGATATGGCAGTGAACGTGTTAACGAATTTTCTTAAGTATTTTTATCCACAGTAGCATTCATAAGAAAGCAAAAGGTGCCATAAAACTTTTGCGTTTCACTGTATTTCGTCCCATTGCTCTAAGCTAGCATAATTTCATGTTTGTAGTCGCGGAACATCTCTATTAAGCGGTTCACATATTTCAACTCGTTCGAAGCTACCCTCTGACAGTTAAATACATTAGCTACTATAATCCGATTGTTTTAATCAGCTTTTCATGAATTAATTAAATGCACGAGAAATGTACTGCGCACACAGCTTGCGCATAAAATGCAAACATACTTATAACAAGTATAACTGATTATTATTAATGGTGATGTCGATGAGAACGTTGACGCTGATCATGGTTGCAATACACTATGAATGCGTGCGCATTCTCCACCTTGCATAAAGTGTTTGCTGGAACTATGATTAACAAAATACTTATATTATGCGTCGTGTACACTCATTCATCGCGCGAGGATTGAAACGAACGACTAAGATAACAACGCGTCCTTTTTGTTGTTGATGTAACCTTTATCTGTACGACCTTTACCTACAATATAATAAAATTTCTTATAGATTTAAAATTAATTACGAAATTAACGGGAGGAATACAAATTTGATAATAATATACTAAATAAAAATTCAATATAGGAGAATATAAATATTGCAAAGAACGACCACTATATTCGTATATCGTGTTTCACTTATTTTTAAGTATAGATATACTCCTTCAAGTATTGACATGTATTTGTGAATCATCCTCCTCGTAGAGGAAATCCTCTAACCTTTATCTGTAAAAAAAATAAATTTAATCATTATAGAGATTTTCTTTTTCTAACAATCTATTACCGATTATCGCTCGTGTTATTATTATCATCACACTGCACACGCGTACGTTGCTGCAATTTACGATACCTAACAATCTAAACTCAATGTGGTTTTCTTTCTTCCGGTTATATGCCGCTTTAGATAATTTTAATCAACAGAATGCTGCAATAGTATACTTTTATTCGCAAGTCCGAACAGTTCAATTTGCTCATTACATTAAACTCGGTCAAACTTTTTGTTTATTCTTTTTTATTCGTTTATGCATACTGGCATGGAACCGGATCGTAAATATACAAACTATCGGCTCTCGAATTACATGCAAGAGGGCGTTGCAGTGTTGAAAACATCATCAACGATAGAATATAGTAATAGTAGAAGTGGAAATCGTGGAAACACGATTCCTAGTATCTCGCAAGTCGTATTCGGTTTGTATTCTAAAGCAGAACCTTCGGGAAAAGGAAGTTTAAATTCCGAATGAAAATTTCTAAACGTCAAGAAAGCGTGCAAGGATAAGGGTATAAAAACTACGAAAAATTTCATTGAAAAATCCTGTTACAACGTAGGCTATCGTAAGATCTTTAATTATTCTTCTTATAGTTGTTGTTGTTGTTGTTATTATTATTTACTAGAAATAAAACGAATGGGGTTTTCCAGTTAGGAGAAAAAGGATCTGGGTTTCGACCACGAGCAGCTGTTCAAGACTTCAACACACTCAGGCGAGAATGTTTGTCAACGGGCAGGCTCTTCGAAGATCCCGAGTTTCCGGCAACGGACTCCTCCTTATATTTTTCGAAAAGTCCTGACAGACACATAGAATGGAAACGTCCGATGGTAAGAATATTTGAAAATTTTCAAATAATTAAAACAATTATATATTCATCAATAATATAAATAATTAATAATTTTATTTATTACAAAGTGTTCATTTTATTCTCAACCACAAGTTTTCATGCGGAATTTTATATTCGATTTAAACGTTTTTACTTCAGGAAATCGTGGATAATCCACGGCTATTTGTGGAAGGTTTCTCCAGATTCGATATTCAGCAGGGTGAATTGGGAGATTGTTGGTTACTCGCTGCTGTTGCGAATCTAACTATGGACAGTAATTTATTTTTCCAAGTAGTGGCGGAAGATCAGAGCTTCGTAGAAAATTACGCCGGTATCTTTCATTTCAGGTACCTATAGCGTTTGAATAAAAATAATATTTCCGTGAATCGTTGGTGTGCTGAATTCTGGTTTCTAACATGTTATGACTTCTGAGGGATTTGTGTATTTTATTGAAAAGTTTTGTTATACAGTTAAGGATATAAATAAATGGACAGATGATGAAATTAATATCAATATATCTGGTTACAGGTTCTGGCAATACGGTAGATGGGTGGACGTAGTGATCGACGATAGATTACCTACTTATTACGGTGAATTAGTGTACTTGCGTTCAGCGGAGAGCAACGAGTTTTGGAGTGCCCTCTTAGAAAAAGCTTATGCGAAGCTTCATGGCTCGTACGAGGCGCTGAAAGGTGGAACCACATGCGAGGCCATGGAAGACTTTACGGGCGGTGTGACGGAAATGTATCAAATGGAGAAAGTCCCTCCGAATCTATTCAGTATTCTGCTAAAAGCTTTTGAAAGGAACTCGTTAATGGGCTGTTCGATAGAGGTAAATCCAATGGCCTGACGATCACTAAATTCTTCGAATGCAGTGATAAATAAAACGTACTTTTATTTTAGCCCGATCCAAACGTATTGGAGGCTAAGACGCCTCAAGGACTGATCAGAGGCCATGCTTATAGTATTACACGCGTCAAGTACGTGGACATTCAAACGCCAAATCGTTATGGAAGGATACCTCTACTTAGGCTTAGGAATCCCTGGGGAAACGAGGAGGAATGGAACGGTCCGTGGAGCGATCAGTAAGTCAAACGACCAAAAGATGTTGATAAAAAATGGTCATTTGGAAATTCTAATAAACAGCATCGAATGTTTATAATGTTATAGCGAGTTCGATTCACCTTCGTAATGTATGTTAGTCAGAAGGTGTATGGAAAGTCAACTTGGTTAACTTGAACCACAATATTTTCATTTTCCGACGAGGATTGAAAATTACCATTTTCCTTCTCGTTCGATAGATCACCCGAATGGAGATTTATTTCCGATAACGAGAAGGAGGAATTAGGCTTAACTTTCGACGTGGACGGTGAATTTTGGATGTCGTTTCAAGATTTTAAGCAATACTTTACGCAACTAGAAATATGCAATTTAAATCCGGACTCGTTGACCGAGGACGATTTAAACGCTGGTAAAAAGAAATGGGAAATGAGCGTGTTCGAAGGCGAATGGGTGCGAGGCGTTACAGCTGGCGGTTGTAGAAACTTTTTAGGTAAACGTTTCTCTCGTTTTAACGTATTTTCCAGTTTCTTTTCATCAAATATCCACTAAGAATTTTAAATGGCTCGCAGAAACATTTTGGCATAACCCTCAGTATCGCATTACGTTGGATTATCCGGACGAAGATGATGATAAGTGTACAGTAATCGTCGCGTTGATGCAGAAAAATAGGCGTGCACAGAGAATGATGGGCGCAGAGAGCCTCACTATTGGATTCGCAATATACCACGTAAGTATTTATAATTGTTGGATAAAGAGGAACGTGGTTGACAAAAAATTCTTCTAGTCATAACAAATTAATATATATTGTAGAAAATAAACAAACTTGGTTATTAACAGAACACTATTACATAGGATACTTTTGAACAAAAGCGTCTTTCGCAACGTGGCGCACTCAACTCATTACTCTTCTCTTATTACATTTTTATCGACAGATGGCGCATAGGTAGAGATTATAAATCTATGCGCATTCCAACAATAATGCACGAAAAAATGAATTTAGTAACAGAAGATTCGTACAATTGCAACGATTTATATGTATAGTTGGAGAATCCTGCACGACTACCGAAACCGTTAGACATCAATTTCTTCGCATACAATGCATCGGTCGGGAGCTCGCCGGTATTTATAAATTTACGAGAAGTTACGTGTCGTTTCAAATTGCCGCCTGGTGTCTATTGTATAGTTCCAAGTACATTCGATCCTAACGAGGAAGGTGAATTTCTGCTTCGAATCTTCTCCGAAAATCAGAACAACATGGAGTAAGTGATCCTTTCGTTGGATAAAATTAAGCGGGATGAAAGTCCGCCATTTATATTGTAATTCTATTTTTCAGGGAGAATGACGAAGAAGTCGGTGTTGGAGAAGTTGATGACAGGGTAAGAAATCTCCATAAATACGTACTACTTAAACACCAATACGTATATCTCTCACGTAGTATAAATGTACTTTAAATATGTGCACGGTTCGCGCGGTAATTTGACTAATTCACAATATTAACACGTACTAACGAAAAAAAAATACACACTAAAAATATTGAACCAATTCCATATTCTGGTAACATGTGTTTAATTCTTATGTCAGTAACCGTTTCACAATGAACTGCGTGAAACTAATTGACCACTAGTGAATTCTTATTAATAAATCGTAACAATTCGCATGTTCGCGTTGCTTGGCTTTTAGGTGATTTATCCTAAAGATGACAACACACAAGGAAACTGAGATGCGGTAAGTAACCAGCACGCTATAATGTATATGTATACAAACAATTTCCATAAATGAAATACAATGTAAATCTTAAATATAAATGTAAATGTAAATCTGTTATGTGTACTAAAAATTAATATACTTGTGGGGACAGTTTTCTCTTTTGCAACATACCATTGCGTCATCTTTCACGAATTTGAATACTTTTATTTTCTTTTAAGATTCAAGGTGAACCAGAGCCAGACCGAAATGAAGATAAAGTTCGAGAATACTTTAAGACGCTTGCTGGTGAAGATATGGAAGTAGACTGGATGGAATTGAAAGAAATCTTGGATTTTGCAATGCGAAAAGGTATCATTATTTACGTCCAGTTTTCCGTATTAATTGCATTCTTAGATATCTGTCTCTGTTTTTATCTTAACAATAGTCAATTTGATTTAAATGATAGATGAACAACGAATAAGACTTCCAAAAGTATTGATCATTTATTTTACTTTTGTTGCAAATAAATATTTATATTTGTATTATATAACACTATTTGCGATATAATTTTATATGTGAACATATACAAGAAGAAGATTTTCCGTTTTTGTTACATTGTTTTTATTGTTTGCTTATTATTAAAAAGCTTCTGTAATTTTCATGCTTTTTAACGTAATATTATTTATTGTTATTGACAGTAGCATAATTTACATAATTACGCTTTTCTATCATTAATCACTCATATAGAATATTTTACAAACCCGCGTAAATAGCTCTGTGCATTCTAATTTTACAAGTTTGTTGGTGTTACATTTCGATTAATTTGTTTTCATCGCGATTTGATTACTGTATGAATGCTATGCAGCTCACAATACTCTCGTTAGTATAGTCTGTTGCTATCTGTTTGCAATGCGTTCGTATCTGTGGTGTTGTCATAGTCGGTTGCAGTTTATGATTGTCCTTTAATATTTCAGAAGTATTTACTTTCGGTCGAGCGTTCATCACAAAGCAATAAATTCCAACGAATATTACAGTTGGAAGTATTTTTCTAATTTCAGAAACACACGATCAAGGATTCAGTAAAGATGTGTGCCGTAGTATGGTCGCCATGCTGGATGTGGATCATTCTGGGAAACTCGGGTTCGAAGAATTCAGAACGTTATGGAACGATATAAGAAAATGGAGGGTACGTTAATTCTATTGGGTCTAAACGGCTACTAATTTCAGATGTTACGATTATTTTCCCTTTTGAGTGATAAAATTTAAATAACGACATATTCAAGTGAAAGATTTCATTCCAGTGTAAAACTTGTCACTTTAAAGCGTGAATTACTGTACGTTTAATAATTATTGAAATTAATTTTCACAAGTGCTGTTTAACTTTTAAGGCGGTTTTCAAATTATACGACAAAGACGAGTCAGGATACTTGAGCGCATTCGAATTGCGACAAGCGTTAAATAGCGCGGGTTATCGACTTAATAATCACATTTTAAATATTTTTGTACATCGTTACGGAACGAAAGAAGGCATGATCACTTTCGATGATTACATAATGTGCGCAGTACGACTCAAAACAATGATAGGTAAGCGAACGTACAGCGATAAGTGAACGGAACATTATACCCGCCACTAACTTGCTATACAAAATAACGTACTTTATTTTTCCAGATATCTTTAGAGAACGAGATCCGGATTTAACGAATACGGCGACGTTTACAATGGAGGAATGGATAGAAAAAACATTATACTCGTAATCTAATCCGTGTGTCAAAACAGATCGAGAAAAAAAGGTGAATACGTTTGTTATTCTTGAAAAATTATATGTAAAAGTCTACCAGTTATAACAATTTTTCTGTTGCATTTGTATTGATATTATTATATATGTATGTTGTTGTATGCCAGTATATCTTATTATGTTTACACGCATAACCTCTTCGTACAAAACTACAAAATATCCCAAATTCCTTTCGTTGGTAATTTTATTGTTTATCTTGACTTACACCCGAGCCTTGACCAATGACTCATTTTTTAAGGCTCTCTCTGTCTTGCCCTTTTTCTTCCCCTTTCTCACTTTTCCAACCCTACATATATATCCTGCGCTTTTCCCTAAACCCAGATTCTGATGTTTGGCAGTTTCACGAACAATGTAAAGTTTAGTCTAAGACTACGAATAGGCAATTGTTTTTGTACGCCGTTAGTCCACACAACCTAGTATTTGAATGGTAATAAAGAGTGATCAAGAGGAATGCAACAATGTATACTAAACGTAGTATTACGTGCTTTAAGATAACTGTACATCTAAATTCCTATTTTGTTAAAGCGACAATAATTTATGACAACCCGTATAAATAAATAAAACATTGTGTAATCGATAGCGTTGTGGATACGTTGGTTTCGTTGTGTGTCGTATTTATTTATTTAATAAACCAGTGTATATTCAATAGGTTATGGGCCCAGCATCATGAGCGTAGCAAATTTGCAACATATAGAAAAGCTAGGAGATGGTAATTATGAGTCATGGAAAATCCAGATGAAAAGTGTTTTACGCCTTAATGAGCTGTGGACACTCAAAGACGAGAAACCACTCGATTTAATTGTATTGAGTTTGCATAAAACGCAGTTTAATGATATCGAACGGGTTGAGATTTCATTGGACGCATGGGGAGCACTGCAAAAGGTGTATGAATCACAGTGCGACAGTGCATTTTGTTTAAGCAATTGTACAGGATGAAGAAAGAAAGAAAGAAACCGTAATACCAATTGTGCTGTTAACGTCTTTACCTGTTCAGTATGAAACATTTTCTATAGCCATTGAGTCAAGGGAAACGATGTCTACCCTAGATGAGCTACGAGTAAAACTACTGGAAGAGGAGATCTGAAAGACAGACAATGACGTATCAAAAGATGATGATAAAGAGACAGCGTTGTTATCTAACAAGAAAAATTTTCAAGAGAAGAAAGCACAGAGGGAATGCTTCCAGAAGCAGTGGCCCGACAATACTTACAATAGGAGGCGTTCTGATAAATGTTTTATATGCTGTAAGCCTGGACATGTAGCTAGATTATGTAGGAACAAGCGAAGAGGTGTCACATCGAGGAATCACACAGAAGAGACGATGCTAGCAAGTGCGTTCAACACTGGTCTCTCCACATCAAACGTGTGGTATCTAGATAGCGGAGCAACGACACACATGTGCAAGGACAGAAGAATGTTCGAGGCCCTAAATGAAGAACACAAGGAAAAGATATACACAGCCACAGAAAGCAGCACTTCCTCGCAAGGTAAAGGAGAAGTAAAAATGAGAGTAAGCTCTCGAAAGACAAACAAGTAAGCAACATTACGTTACAGGATGTAATGTTTGTACCAGAATTTCGTACTAATGTAACGTCAGTCCCTAGTATCACTGAAAACGGATATAGCGTAACGTTCAACGAGGACTCAGCTGTCGTAAAGCGAAGGGATGGTACTGTTGTACCGACAGCACCGAAACAAAATGATTTATATATTGCCAAGGTCTCAGGCAAGCAGCAGAGCATGTTCACGGGTAAACAAGATAACAGACTGACGAGATGGCATCAGAGATTGAGTCATCTGGATTACAACGATTTAAAGAAAATGTATGATAAAGGCATTGTAGATGGAACGTAGATGTTTCGACATGCTTGTTCAGGCCATGAAGAGCAATCGAAGGCAACTGTGACTAGCTGCTATAGAAAAAGAGTTATGCAAAACGGAACATGGGAACTAGTAGATGAACCAAAGGGCTACAAGGTACTTACTAACAAGTGGGTGTTCGGAGTGAAAAAGAACCAAGATGGTACGGTAAATAAGTTCAAGGCAAAACTTGTAGCTCGTGGAAACGAACAAAAAAAGGGTATCGATTTTGATGAGGTGCTCGCACCAGAGAAATGTAGGAAATAGGTCTGATAAAAGTGCAATATGTGAACACAAATAAAATGGTAGCGGATATATTTACCAAGGCTCTGCCAAAGATTAAATTAGAGAAATGCGTTAATATGTTAAATCTAAGATGTTAGTACACAATCGCAATACAAAGATCGCATTCATGTTTATGTTTGCGTGTTGCAAATTATGTACTTTGTTAGAGATAGAGACTTTATGTTTACGTTGTGTATTTGTGCGCGGCAAATTATGTATTTTATTAAAGGTTAAAAACGTTTATACACAAAACTAACATTTCTCAGTGTACTTCGAAAGGGGGAGCGTTAAGATATTCGAAGAGACCGCTCGAGGTCGATTGTTTGTTGCGTAATCGATAGCGTTGCGGTTGCATCGTTTTCCTTCTGTGTCGTGTTTATTTATTACAAATAAACCAGTGTGTACTCAACAGAAACCGTTTTGGAAAAATTATTTTTGGTTGCGGTCCTCAATTAGAATCATTTTTCGTAAATACATATGCCCCAAAAATCCTACGCATTTTCTAGAAAAAAATTCGAGTAGTTGGACAAGTTTTTCGAAAAAATTAACAAATTTCAAGTAGTTCTAAAAAAATTATATTCGGTTGCAGGGGTCAATTACAATCGTTTTTGGAGAATAGACATACCCCTGAAATCCTACGCATTTTCGAGAAAAAAATTCAGAAATGAGGTCAAATTTTTTGATGAAATTAAAAAATTCCAAATCATTCTGGAAAAACTATTTTTTGTTGCGGGGGTTAATTACAATCATTTTTGGTGGATACACATACTCCTGAAAACCTACGCATTTTCGAGAAAAAAAATCAGAAAGGACGTCAAATTTTTCGGTGAAATTGAAAAATTCCAAATCGTTCTAAAAAAATTATTTTTGGTTGTAGAGGTCAATTACAATCATTTTTGTTCAATACACATACACTCGAAATCCTACGCATTTTGGAGAAAAAAATTCAGAAAGAAGGTCAAATTTTTCGGCGAATTTAAAAAATTCTAAATCGTTCTAAAAAAATTATTGTTGGTTGTAGAGGTCAATTACAATCATTTTCGGTCAATACACATAACCTCGAAATCCTACGCATTTTGGAGCAAAAAATTCAGAAATGAGATCAAATTTTTTGATGAAATCAAAAAATTCTAAATCGTTCTAAAAAAATTATTTTTGAATGTAGAGGTCAATTACAATAATTTTTGGTCAATACACGTACACTCGAAATCCTACGCATTTTGGAGAAAAAAAATTAAAAAATGAGGTCAAATTTTTGGATGAAATTAAAAAATTTCAAATCTTTCTGGAAAAATTATTTTTGGTTGCGAGGGTCAATTACAATCGTTTTTGGTGAATAGACATACCCCTGAAATCCTACGCATTTTCGAGAAAAAAATTCAGAAAGGAGGTCAAATTTTTCGGTGAATTTAAAAAATTAAAATCAATCTAGAAAAATTATTTTCGATTGCGAGAGTTAATTACAATCGTTTTTGGTGGATAGACATACCCCTGAAATCCTACGCATTTTCGAGAAAAAAATTCAGAAAGGAGGTCAAATTTTTCGGCGAAATTAAAAAATTCCAAATCGTTCTGGAAAAATTATTTTTGGTTGCGAGGTTCAATTACAATCATTTTTGTTCAATACACATACACTCGAAATCCTACGGATTTTGGAGAAAAAAATTCAGAAATGAGGTCAAATTTTTTGATGAAATTAAAAAATTCCAAATCCTTCTGGAAAAATTATTTTTGGTTGCGAGGGTCAATTACAATCATTTTTGGTGAATACACATACCCCCGAAATCTTACTCACGTTCGAGAAAAAAATTCGAATAGGTGGACATATATTTTGACAAAATTAAAAAATTTCAAATCAATCTGAAAAAATTATTTTCGATTGCAGGGGTCAATTACAATCATTTTTGGTGAATACACATACCCCCAAAATCCTATCCACCTTCGAGAAAAAGCTGCATTTATGTGAACAAATCTTATTAATAATTTTGTTAATTACTTTTTAACGAAGTTGATCAAGAAATTGGTATTTTTGATTTTCGTCTTATTTTGGACTCTAGAATCTTTCATTAAAATTGGAGTGATCTAAAATTAAGATCCCATTAAAATGGATCCCAAGAGATGTGCCAAAAATTCTTAACAACGGTCTCACAAACGGCGAAGTGAATTACAAAGCGCAAGAAAAAATAGAAATGAAAATATTCAACGGAGGAAAAGCAATTTCTTACGGTGAAAATGGTAGTTTTAAATACTTCAACTTTCAGGACTTGTACAAATTACAATGTTCATTAAATTTCACTAAAATTATTATTTTTTATGGTCATTCAGGAAACAATACTAATTCATTAAATTTCGATGTTATGAAATTTATTTTTTGGCAAAATCTCATTAAATATTTCGATCTGGATCACCGTGCGCCGGCGCTGACGCCAACGCCCTCGTTGGTCGATCGAAAGAGGATACGTTCCTTCCAGGCATCTGTTTTTAGGAAATAACGGTCAGTGTATCGCGTGCTTTTCAACATCGAAGAAGGGCCCACGCGGTCGCAACGCTCAGGTAAAAAGTTTCTGATTTCGATCAGCCAACTTTTGGTTCGATGACAGAAAATTCTGCGAAAGCATCGTTGATTCTCGTAACGTGGCGTATTTTGAAATTATCGACGAGGCGTACGAAGGGTATTCTCACGGTTGTTCGACAACAGCAAAATTAATAATCGAAATTACACCAATACTTATACCAGAATATTCGTTATTTTCTATCATCGGTTAATTACATTGTAAAAATTCACTTCTGTATTCGCTCTACTTGTCGACACTTCCTCTAAGATCTGCATTTGAAAAGAAAGAAGAACAAATCTTCGACTAAATTCAGCCTTCACGAACGTCTTTGGTACAGAATAAATGTTCAACAAACAGCGATTAAAGAGTTACGAAACTGCGGTAAGAAAACAGAGTACATATATGTATAGTTCCGCTAGTATACATACGTATAGCGTCGTACAGTACAGTGAAAATCGTTCAGATTGTATCGTGACGAGTGCTGCTTCGGTACAATATCAATAATAACAAATTATTATTCTGTAAATTACTACCCAGTAATTATTCACGCCAACAGTAAAAAGGTAAACATTATTCTTTATCGATGAAAAAAGAGAAAACCGTATCCAAAATTATACGTAAAAATATACAACGTATTTACATAGAAACAAATTTCATTTGAAAAATTAGTTCGGTACTTACCTGGGTAAACAATATTATCTATATCTGCGAGTGACTGTACGTATTCGCAACTACGAGAGTACATATCAAGGTAGACACTGTTGAATCATTTCGTACGCGTCAACGTCGCGTGACGAACGCGCGAGACACCGTCGACGGTTTAACGACACAACTGGCAACGCGGTTCAAGGTCAAAGAAACCTCCTTCCGGTCGTGTGGTCGCAAAGCCATCGAATTGCGTTGAAAACATGTGAACCTTTGAAAAGTGGTGCAGTGCGTCAAGCGTCGATTCGGTCGAAATACGCAGAACCGGTAATCCGCTACTGCCCTTGCTCGCCATTCGTGATAACGTAACAGGAAGACTCGCACGTACGTTTTCCAACGAATCGTATCCAATAAAATTAGCATCACGCAGGGCAAATCGATCTAACGCGCGATTACGTGAATTGCATTTCCGCACAGTTTCGAAATGCTAACAGGAAAGAGTATTTCAGAATCCTGGAAACACGTTGGTCAGATCCTAACTAGAACACAATGAACAACTTTTCTTACGGATGGAAACAGGAAGTGATCGAACCAGAAATTGTACGACAGGAAGCACATAAGCCGGAAGTGAGTATTGGCATGTCGCTATAATTCTATGGTCGTTAATCGTAGGGAACGACATCGTGTGTACGCTGCGTTAGACGAAAAAAAAAAACGGAAATAATTGCCGAATGTGCGCTTTATCGACGGTACAATTAAAGTTAATTGGTGTTTACGGTGCAAGGACGTTTCTGGAGTTTAAAGGGTCGCGCTTCCTAGATTGATTCGCGTTACGTCTCACAGATGGTGTACGCGTTGATTCCATTAAGCCGCGTGCACACCGAAGACGTACGAGTAACGTCCGAACGGAGCCGAACATAGTCGAACGCAGCCAAACACGAAAACGTGTTTATGCCGGCGACTCGTGTGTACGCATCCGCTCGTTGTGAAACTGCGAAATTACGATCAGGTATCACGTATCTCACACACCTAAATTCCACTCGATTAGTTCTCGCTGCTTCACAGACATTCGCCACTGAAAAGTTGAGGAAAAAGAAAAGTCGCGCATTATTGCATGCGTTGTGCCGCGTGACGAAACATTGGTGAGGGTAACAGGAGAATGATCTCAGTTCATGGCTCCAGACTTGTCAACGTAACGGTTCTATATCCGCGCGGTGAAATCGCGTCAAGAGCCAGGATTGAGTTTCCCTCGGCTTTTCGTTCATGACGGCTGAAACAATCTGCGTCGTACAGTGGACACGTGACAAGAACTAACCGTCAAAAAACGCGAGCAAAGAGAACTCGTTCGAAATCGCGTCGAACGATCTTTTTATTCGAACGTAGTGATCAGTGGTAATTCCAATAAACGTCGTAGTTAGGGCGTAGTCGACGAGGAAGATGAGTTACTACGGCGATGGGAACTCGGGTCGTACCGATGACATCTTCGTTAAGACAGTCGTTGAAGTCAAACGATTTCTTCCATCGCTTTTCAACATTAAAGTGGTATGCGTCCTGAAACTCGCCCGAACGGTTTCAATTTTAACCGAATAATTTTGGCCGCTGACGCATTATTCGATTGCCGAACTTTATTTGGAAGTTTCCTTGGAACCTCGTTTAAAATGAATGTCACCGTCGCGATAACGATCAGAACCTTAAACAACTGTCATTTGCCGCAATATTTTCAAATATATCGTGTGATTTCGGGTTTCGAAGTGAACGAACACTTCCCTACAAAAAGAGCGTACGTTATAAATTTTCTAGATATAGGATGTTAGGCCACCCATGGGAAAAATTTTAATGAGGGATTCTAGAGGTCAAAATAAGACGAAAATCAAGAATACCAATTTGTTGATGGAGGCTTTGTTAAAAAGTTATTAATGTTTAAAGTTCCGCTCGTACCGAATTTTTTTCTCGAAAATGCGCAGGATTTCGGAGGTATGTGTATTCACCAAAGATGATTGTAATTGTGCCCCGCAACCGAAAATAATTTTTCCAGAACGATTTGAAATTATTGAATTTAATTGTTAATAACTTTTTAACGGAGCCGCCATCAACAAATTGGTATTCTTGATTTTCGTCTTATTTTGGCCTCTAGAATCCCACATTAAAATTTTTCCCAGGGATGGTCGAACGTATCTTTGTCTCGAAATTAATACGCGAGCATGGCTACATCGAATATTATAATAAATAGAAATTTTTATTTCCGTATGTTGTATCATGTTACTAATTCTTGATAACATCCTTTCATTTACCACTGCGTGTATGTTCAATTGTTACGTTGCGTCCTTCACAATACTAATTTACGGATTATCTAGAACACATGATCCCGGATACAGTAGCACACAAAAGTTTCTGGGCAATTTTGCACGCTTTGCGCGACTCTGTTAGGGGACGTTAACATGAATTTCTCCATCACGCACGACTAGATTATTAAAAAGATTTAAGTACGAGCAATAGTTTTCTTTATTTATGAGGCTATGTACAACTTAAAGTATATTAGTAATTGAAAAAATTTCCAGAACAACATTTCGTTGTTCGATGTACGAAATCATAAAAAATTTAAAGAAGAAATAACGTCTTAAAATCCTCATATTTTTTGCCATTTCTGCGGTAGCAGTAATGGTGCAACGTCGACTCGCCAATTCAATTAACTTGTATAATTAGAATAATATCCTTTGAATTCATTACCGTTCCTTTTATAATTGCTGGAATAATTACCCATCATTTGAATAAATATGTTCATTTGCTCTTTCAAGTGCCTTACAAGTGTTCGTTAGATATCACCTGGCTTAAGTATTAGATTAGAATCACGTTTGTATTAATTTCGATCGATGTGTTTGGTCTTTTGCCCAAGTATTTAATTTAACACATTGACTGTCACGTCACCCATACATGGGTGACAGGATTTACCATTATGATACTAGAAAAATTTATTCTCAAGTTAAGACGATAAGGGAAATAAATTTGAATAGTATTTGTGAATTTTAAGAAAGTTACGAAAACAAATACTGAAACAAATTTTAGGTTATGTAGCTTACAGTTTGGATATGGCAGTGAACGTGTTAACGAATTTTCTTAAGTATTTTTATCTACAGTATCATTCATAATAAAGCGAAAGGTACCACAAAACTTTTGCGCTTCACTGTATTTTATCTCATCTCCCTAAGCTAGCATAATTTCATGTTCGTAATCGGGGGACAACATCTCTGTTAAGTGGTTCACATATTTCAACTCGTTCGAAGCTACCTCTGACAGTTAATTACATTAGCTTCTATGATTGGATTACTTTAATCAGCTTTTCATTAATTAATTAAATACACGAGAAATGTACTGCGCACACAGCTTGCGCATAAAATGCAAACATACTTATAACAAGTATAAATGATTATTATTAATGGTGATGTCGATGAGAACGTTGACGCTGATCATGGTTGCAACACACAATGAATGCGTACGCATTCTCCACCTTGCATAAAGTGTTTGCTGGAACTATGATTAACAAAATACTTATATTATGCGTCATGTACACTCATTCATCGCGCGAGGATTGAAACGAACGACTAAGATAACAACGCGTCCTTTTTGTTGTTGATGTAACCTTTATCTGTACGACCTTTACCTACAATATAATAAAATTTCTTATAGATTTAAAATTAATTACGAAATTAACGGGAGGAATACAAATTTGGTAATAATATACTAAATAAAAATTCAATATAGAAGAATATAAATGTTGCAATGGACGACCACTATATTCGTATAACGTGTTTCACTTATTTTTAAGTGTAGATATACCCCTTCAAATATTGACATGTATTTGTGAATCATCCTCCTCGTAGAGGAAATCCTCTAACCTTTATTTGTAAAAAAAATAAATTTAATCATTATAGAGATTTTCTTTTTCTAACAATCTATTACCGATTATCGCTCGTGTTATTATTATCATCACACTGCACACGCGTACGTTGCTGCAATTTACGATACTTAACAATCTAAACTCAATGTGGTTTTCTTTCTTCCGGTTATATGCCGCTTTAGATAATTTTAATCAACAGAATGCTGCAATAGTGTACTTTTATTCGCGAGTTTGAACAGTTCAATTTGTTCATTACATTAAACTGGGTCAAACTTTTTGTTTATTCTTTTTTATTCGTTTATGCATACTGGCATGGAACCGGATCGTAAATATACAAACTATCGGCTCGTGAATTACATGCAAGAGGGCGTTGCAGTGTTGAAAACATCATCAACGTTAGAATATAGTAATAGTAGAAGTGGAAATCGTGGAAGCACGATTCCTAGTATCTCGCAAGTCGAGTTCGGTTCGTATTCCAAGGCAGTACCTTCGGGAAAAGAAAGTTTAAATTCCAAATCAAAATTTCTGAACGTTAAGAAACCGTTCAACGATAAGGGTATAAAAACTACGAAAAATTTCATTGGAAAACCCTGTTACAACGTAGGCTATCGTAGGATCTTCATTTATTATTATTATTATTATTATTATTATTATTGTAGTAGTAGTTGTTGTTGTTATTTGCAAGAAATAAAACGAATGATGGGTTTTTCCAGTTAGGAGAAAGAGGATCTGGGTTTCGACCACGAGCAGATGTTCAAGATTTCAACACACTCAGGCGAGAATGTTTGTCAACGGGCAGGCTCTTCGAAGATCCCGAGTTTCCGGCAACGGACTCCTCCTTATATTTTTCGAAAAGTCCTGACAGACACATAGAATGGAAACGTCCGATGGTAAGAATATTTGAAAATTTTCAAATAATTCAAACAATTATATATTCATCAATAGTATAAATAATTAATAATTTTATTTATTACAAAGTGTTAATTTTATTCTCAACCACAAGTTTTCATGCGGAATTTTATATTCGATTTAAACGTTTTTACTTTAGGAAATCGTGGATAATCCACAGCTATTTGTGGAAGGTTTCTCCAGATTCGATATCCAGCAGGGTGAATTGGGAGATTGTTGGTTACTCGCTGCCGTTGCGAATCTAACTATGGACAGTAATTTATTTTTCCAAGTAGTGCCAGAAGATCAAAGCTTCGAAGAAAATTACGCCGGTATCTTTCATTTCAGGTACCTACAGCGTTCCGATAAACATAATATTTCCGTGAATCGTTCGTTCGGACTTTTCAGTCGAATAACAACCATGTGTGCTGAATTGTGATTTCTAACATTTTATGACTTCCGAGTGATCTCTATATTTTGTTGAAAAATTTTTACATATACTTTTTAGTTATGCAGTTAAGGACAAAAATGGACGGATGGTAAAAATGAATATCAATATGAAATTTAATTACGACAGCATCATAATTACAGATTTAAGATTTATTTAACATTTATCTTTATATTATACAAATTATTTAAATAACATTTGAAATAAATATTAACAATCGGTGTAAACTGAAAGTAAATTTAAAGAAAAAAATGAACCAATTTCAGAGAGACAAAAGGAAATGGACAATTAGTTGATACATTATTGCGAGACAAAAATTATACAGGGTGTTCGGCCACTCTTGGGAAAAATTTTAATGAGAGATTCTAGAGACCAAAATAAGACGAAAATCAAGAACACTAATTTGATGATTGAGGCTTCGTTAAAAAGTTATTAACATTTAAAGTTCCTCCTGTAGAACAGCAATCTGCGCACAGCTGCGTGCGCGCGATAGTAGTTCTCGCCATAGACGAAGTATACGAGTAAACCTAACTTTCAATGCATTTTTTCGATCCATTTTTCTGGAACTCTAGAGCGCCATTAATATGCATTCTTTGATTGTTGAATCATTAAAATCCTTCAATCCGTCCGGAAGTTATGATTTTTTAAACATACGCATGAAATTTCGGGGAAACATTGCTGGCCACACAGTATATTTTCGGTAAAGAATTTTTTTCCTCGAAAGTACGTAGGATTTCGAGGGTATATGTATTGACCAAAAATGATTGTAATTGTCCACCGCAACGGAACATAATTTTTCCAGAACGATTTGAAATTTTTTAATTTAATTTTTTAATAACTTTTTAACGTAGCCTCAGTCAAGAGACTGAACACCCTGTATAGAAACATTTGTATAAGTGTCAAGTTAATACACAGCTGCATCGAACAAATTTTTCAATACGTATTCAGGCTTCGTACAAGTAAAATTAAGCATTGAACGATATAAAAATGCCAAAAATAGCAGATATTTCATATCAAATCCGTAATTTAATTCTTTCGGGCTGTTGTAACAGGTTAAGTTACCATGTTATGGCACACAAATATAAAGTATCAAAGAGTGCGTTGGGAAAAATATTTAGTACATAATACTGTAGAGAATTTAAGACATTCTGGACGAAAACGTTGCACTACCACTCACAGTCAAGACAAAATGGGACCAAAATCTTGTAGGGCAAGGCGTAAACCTCATAATAATAAAAGGTACATAAAAAAACGTTCAACTTTTGCTAAAAAGTATGTTAATATGCCGATATTATTCTGAAAAAAGATAGTATGATCTGATGAATCAAAATTTGAAACGCGACAATCGAAGAACAAGCAAAATGTCTGGAGAAAGAAAAATGAAACGTACAAAAAATTATTTATCACACCAACGGTTAAATTTGGAGGTGCTTCATTAATGGTGTGGGGTTGTTTTTCATGTTACGGGATTGGAACCTCAGTACCAGTTGATGGTATTGTGAATACTGATAAGCACATTGGCGTAATCAACAAAAATTTGGAGGAGGCAACAATAAAAATGAATTTGGAAGAATTTATTCTTCGACAGAACAATGATCCAAAACATGTTGCCAAAAAGAGTATGAAATTTTTTAGTGATTCAGATATTAAGTTACTCGAATGGCCAGCACAAAGTCTTGACTTGAATCCGATAGAGAATTTGTGATGTGTATTGGATGCCAAACTTCCTTGGGACAAGCGAATGGGTAAAATGGAATTTTTTAATAGTTTAAAATCAGCATTTGGCACTATTGACAAAGGTTACATAGAAAATCTTGCAAATAGTATGCTTCGACGACTAGAGGCCGTAATTGCGGCAAAAGGTGGCGATACTAAATATTAATAGTTATTGGTAGCGTCCACTTACTCCTATTTCTCTGTAATTGTTTCAGTTTTTGTTTAAACCTAATTTAAGTTTACACCGATTGTTAATATTTATTTTAATTAAATTTCATTGATATCCTTTTCCATCATCTGTCCACTTGCTTTTGTCCCTGACTGTAGGTGGATTATTGTAAAAATCTCATGTTTCATAATATTCATATCTGGTTACAGGTTCTGGCAATACGGTAGATGGGTGGACGTAGTGATCGACGATAGATTACCTACTTATTACGGTGAATTAGTGTACCTGCGTTCAGCGGAGAGCAACGAGTTTTGGAGTGCTCTCTTAGAGAAAGCTTATGCGAAGCTTCATGGCTCGTACGAGGCGTTGAAAGGTGGAACCACATGCGAGGCCATGGAAGACTTTACGGGCGGTGTGACGGAAATGTATCAAATGGAGAAAGTCCCTCCGAATCTATTCAGTATTCTGCTAAAAGCTTTTGAAAGGAACTCGTTAATGGGCTGTTCGATAGAGGTAAATCCAATGGCCTGACGATCACTAAATTCTTCGAATGCAGTGATAAATAAAACGTACTTTTATTTTAGCCCGATCCAAACGTATTGGAGGCTAAGACGCCTCAAGGACTGATCAGAGGCCATGCTTATAGTATTACACGCGTCAAGTACGTGGACATTCAAACGCCAAATCGTTATGGAAGGATACCTCTACTTAGGCTTAGGAATCCCTGGGGAAACGAGGAGGAATGGAACGGTCCGTGGAGCGATCAGTAAGTCAAACGACCAAAAGATGTTGATAAAAAATGGTCATTTGGAAATTCCAATAAACAGCATCGAATGTTTATAATGTTATCGCGAGTTCGATTCACCTTCGTAATGTATGTTAGTCAGAAGGTGTATGGAAAGTCAACTTGGTTAACTTGAACCACAATATTTTCATTTTCCGACGAGGATTGAAAATTGCCATTTTCCTTCTCGTTCGATAGATCACCCGAATGGAGATTTATTTCCGATAACGAGAAGGAGGAATTAGGCTTAACTTTCGACATGGACGGTGAATTTTGGATGTCATTTCAAGATTTTACGCAATACTTTACGCAACTAGAAATATGCAATTTAAATCCGGACTCGTTGACCGAGGACGATCTAAACGCTGGCAAGAAGAAATGGGAAATGAGCGTGTTCGAAGGCGAATGGGTGCGAGGCGTTACGGCTGGAGGCTGTAGAAACTTTTTAGGTAAACGTTTCTTTCGTTGTAACATATTTTCCAGTTTCTTTTCATCAAATACCGACTAAGAATTTTTAATGGCTCGCAGAAACATTTTGGCATAACCCTCAGTATCGTATTACGTTGGAGTATCCGGACGAAGATGATGATAAGTGTACAGTAATCGTTGCGTTGATGCAGAAAAATAGGCGAGCACAGAGAAGGATGGGCGCAGAATGCCTAACTATTGGATTCGCAATATACAACGTAAGTATTTATAATTGTTGGATAAAGAGGAACGTGGTCGACAAAAAATTCTTCTAATCATAACAAATTAATATATATTGTAGAAAATAAATAAACTTGGTTATTAACAGAACACTATTACATAGGATACTTTTGAACAAAAGCGTCTTTCGCAACGTGGCGCACTCAACTCATTACTCTTCTCTTATTACATTTTTATCGACAGATGGCGCATAGGTAGAGATTATAAATCTATGCGCATTCCAACAATAATGCACGAAAAAATGAATTTAGTAACAGAAGATTCGTACAATTGCAACGATTTCTATGTACAGTTGGAGAATCCTGCACGACTACCAAAACCGTTAGACATCAATTTCTTCAAATACAATGCATCGGTCGGGAGCTCGCCGGCATTTATAAATTTACGAGAAGTTACGTGTCGCTTCAAATTTCCGCCTGGTGTCTATTGTATAGTTCCAAGTACATTCGATCCTAACGAGGAAGGTGAATTTCTGCTCCGAATCTTCTCCGAAAATCAGAACAACATGGAGTAAGTGATCCTTTCGTTGGATAAAATTAAGCGCGATGAAAGCCCGCCATTTATATTGTAATTCTATTTTTCAGGGAGAATGACGAAGAAGTCGGTATTGGAGAAGTTGATGACAGGGTAAGAAATCTCCATAAATACATACCATTTAAACACCAATACAAATATCTCCTCACGTAGTATAAATATACTTTAAATATGTGCACGGTTCGCACGGTAATTTGACTAATTTGCAATATTAACACGTATTAACGTAAAGAAAATACACATTAAAAATATTGGACCAGTTCCATAATCTGATAACATGTGTTTAACCCTTATGTCAATAACAGGGTACCGAGGTACCCTTTTCCTTGTTGTAATATCGCAAAATCGTTGTGGATTTTCCTTTTTCGGACAGTTAGTAAAAAATCTTTGGAAATAGTATCGTCCTTCCACGAGAAGAAGGCACAGCGTGTTTACATCTGCACTTTTGCTGCAATCCGCTGATTGGCTGTCACAATACAACGGGAGTGGGGATTGTAAACACGCTGGGGCCCATTCGATGGACATTCGTGGGAATTTTGGACATGCGCACTAGAATTTTCCCTCGTGGGGTTCCTTTTTGCGCATGCGTTAGCTTTCTGCCATAGATGTATCTTTAGCGCCTTCTGGGCCTTCCTCTCGTGGAATAATGGTACGTGATGAATCATGTAAGAGGTCAGGAAAGAATTGTACCCTGGTTATTGAACAACCGTATTTTGGTTATCGATATAAGGATTAATATGCTGGGCTTTTATAGTGCTTTCAACGTGTACTCGTGTTTGCGTAGAATAATTATATATCTAATGATGCATATACATATGTAACCGTTGCACAATGAACTGCGTGAAACTAATTGACCACTAGTGGATCCTTATTAATAAATCGTAACATTTCGCATGTTCGCGTTGCTTGGCTTCTAGGTGATTAACCCTAAAGATGACAACACACAAGGAAACGGAGATACGGTAAGTAACCAGCACGCTATAATGTATATGTATACAAACAATTTCCATAAATGAAATACAATGTAAATATAAATCTGTTATGTGTGCTAAAAATTAATATACATGTGGGGACAGCTTTCTCTTTTGCAACATACCATTGCGTCATCTTTCACGTATTTGAATACTTTTATTTTCTTTTAAGATTCGAGGTGAACCAGAGCCAGACCGAAATGAAGATAAAGTTCGAGAATTCTTTAAGAAGCTTGCTGGTGAAGATATGGAAGTAGACTGGATGGAATTGAAAGAAATCTTGGATTTTGCAATGAGAAAAGGTATCATTATTTACGTCCAGTTATCCGTATTAATTGCATTCTTAGATATCAGTCTCTGATTGTATCTTAACAATAGTCAATTTGATTTAAACGATAGATGAACGACGAATAAGATTTCCAAAGGTATTGATCATTTATTTTACTTTTGTTGCAAATAAATATTTATATTTATATTATATAACACTATTTGCGATATAATTTTATATGTGAACATATACAAGAAGAAGATTTCCCGTTCTTGTTACATTGTTTTTATTGTTTGCTTATTATTAAAAAGCTTCTGTAATTTTCATGCTTTTTAACGTAATATTATTTATTGTTATTGACAGTAGCATAATTTACATAATTACGCTTTTCTATCATTAATCACTCATATAGAATACTTTACAGACCCGCGTAAATAGCTCTGTGCATTCTAATTTTACAAGTTTGTTGGTGCACCATTTCGATTAATTTGTTTTCATCGCGATTCGATTACTGTATGAATGCTAATACATTATCATTCGCACTTTTCTCTTTCTTTATAATCATCTGTTTCTTTGTCTTTGTATTACTTCGTATTATACATAAATACATTTGGGTCGCCACGCGAAATAGAAATTTTTAATTTGTGTCCATTTTTTAATTTAGCAAATTATTAACACAGCTGCTGTGAGCAAAGACCTGCATATTAGGTGTGGAAATTATAATTGTTCACAACTAACAGCAATCGCTAAATAAAAATACTTTTAAATTAACAATCGTTACAATTAATATTTCAGGGAACCGAAAGAATTGAAAGTGTTAGAACAAAGGTATAATTGTAATTAGAGGATGTTAATTTCATTCTAGGTGCAACTAGAACCAATGACTTAGTAATTGAAAAACTGTTCAAATTAACTGCAATTAGTGTTCATAATTCTTGTATATCCTGTGTAGAAGATACCACTACTCTGTGAAAATAATTGGAAAATACCTAATGTTAAAAAATCGCTGTGAAGCGTACACGTTGATTAATTTGGCCCGAATGTACATATGTAAAATTTAATGTTAACATGTAGCTGTATGTTACGGGTAGAACTACCACAGTTGGTGCATCGTAGTGAGGCTCATGCCCCTGAAACCGTACAAGGAAATGGTTCGTTTATCGACACTATCATCTCACTGCTGTGCGGCATTGTTTGTAATAATGAACAGTACAATAAGTCCGTAGGTAAGACATCACCTACTATACATGTATACTTGATATTACACCAGGTCATCTCATTGTATGTAATGCAAGCTATTAAATCACCGTAGACTGTAAATGTTAGCTGTCGTTAAGTATCGTAGTTGAGGAAAAAAAGTCTATCCGGAGCCTGGAACGGGTCAATTGGTACAATAGTCAACCGGTGTTACGAGTGTCCCCTTTAGATAATTTATATTCATTCAATAATATTACGCTAATATGGAAAAGAAACGAATAATGGATATTTAAGTAGAGTTGTTCGTAGCACTTCTTTTAATACAGGATGTTTAACTACAGCTGCTGAACACAGTATTTGTTCAATCTATAATGATATTTAAAGGAACTAAATTAATAATAAGGTAATACGTTGGGCCTACGGAGAGAAAACTCTGATAGCCCACAACACCAAGGCACGCTAAAGAACCGTATTCAATTTTACTTATCGTTACTGTAGTACGGCTATGCAAGTGAACATTTTTTTGCATGCGTTCTTGTCTCGACAAGATAAAAAATCATTAACGAGATCGCTTGAAAAGAATTAATTATGATTGGAATGCAGTATGCGAAAAACTGTTACGCAGCTCACAATAGTCTCGTTGGTATAGTCTGTTGCTATCTGTTTGCAATGCGTTCGTATCTGTGGTGTTGTCATAGTCGGTTGTAGTTTATGATTGTCTTTTAATATTTCAGAAGTATTTACTTTCGGTCGAGCGTTCATCACAAAGCAATAAATTACAACGAATATTGCAGTTGGAAGTATTTTTCTAATTTCAGAAACACACGATCAAGGATTCAGTAAAGATGTGTGCCGTAGTATGGTCGCCATGCTGGATGTGGATCATTCTGGGAAACTGGGCTTCGAAGAATTCAGAACGTTATGGAACGATATAAGAAAATGGAGGGTATGTTAATTCTATTGGGTCTAAACGGCTACTAATTTCAGATGTTACGATTATTTTCCCTTTTGAGTGATAAAATTTAAATAACGACATATTCAAGTGAAAGATTTCATTTCAGTGTAAAACTTGTCACTTTAAAGCGTGAATTACTGTACGTTTAATAATTATTGAAATTAATTTTCACAAGTGCCGTTTAACTTTTAAGGCGGTTTTCAAATTATACGACAAAGACGAGTCAGGATACTTGAGCGCATTCGAATTGCGACAAGCGTTAAATAGCGCGGGTTATCGACTTAATAATCATATTTTAAATATTTTGGTACATCGTTACGGAACGAAAGAAGGCATGATCACGTTCGATGATTACATAATGTGCACAGTACGACTCAAAACAATGATAGGTAAGCGAACGTACAGCGATAAGTGAACGGAACATTATACCCGCCACAACTTGCTATACAAAATAACGTACTTTATTTTTCCAGATATCTTTAGAGAAAGAGATCCTGATTCATCGAATACGGCGACGTTTACAATGGAGGAATGGATAGAAAAAACATTATACTCGTAATCTAATCCGTGTGTCAAAACAGATCGAGAAAAAAAGGTGAATACGTTTGTTATTCTTGAAAAATTATATGTAAAAGTCTACCAGTTATAACAATTTTTCTGTTGCATTTGTATTGATATTATTATATATGTATGTTGATGTATGCCAGTATATCTTATTATGTTTATGCGCAGATCCTTTTCGTACAAAACTACAAAATGTCCCAAATTCCTTTCGTTGGTAATTTCATCGTTTATCCTGACTTAGACCCGAGCCTTGACCAATGACTCAGTTTTAAAGCTCTCTCTGTTCTGCCCTTTTTCTTCCCCCTTTCTCACTTTTCCAAACGTACATATATATCCTGCGCTTTTCCCTAAACCCAGATTCTGATGTTTGGCAGTTTCACGAACAATGTAAAGTTTAGTCTAAGACTACGAATAGGCAATTGTTTTTGTACACTGTTAGTCCACACAACCTAGTATTTGAATGGTAATAAAGAGTGATCAAGAGGAATGCAACAATGTATACAAAACGTAGTATTACGTGCCTTAAGATAACTGTACATCTAAATTCATATTTTGTTAGAGCGATAATAATTTATGGGAACCCGTATGAATAAATAAAACATAGTTTTATAAAGAAATTCCTAATGTGAAGAAAAAAAACAAATATAAATGATATAAATATGATTTATGCCTGTACTGTAACATAAAGTACGCATACATAAAGATTGTAAAATTTAAAGAACAGTCATTCATGTTGTATTTGAAAAAAAAACAATTATTTTTATTTAAATCAGTATACTTATTCCATTCCCATTATGATTTTTACAAAGGTTTTAAATAAATTTTTTAATACGTATAAAAATGTTTCAGAAAAATTATTAATTAACTTATGATAGAAAAATTAATAACTTCCGTATCGTAGAACCTATTTCTTGCTCGTTTTATTTATCAATAACTTTTCGAGTACATTTCTGAAATAAAATAAAAACATTCTACAATCTTAATTATCAGTCTGTAACAATTTAGGATTGTTTTATGTACTCGCGTTCACCAAGTATAGCATTACCAAGTATAACATTAAAACAGCATATAAATAAGTTGCTTAAACAGTGTTATACTTGTCTTTATTGTAAAACATGACAAATACCACGCATTGAAAAAAAAACAAAAACATTTCACTAACAATGTAAACAATCGCAAGTAAACAAATTGCTCAACTGGAAAATGTACAATCAAGTTCATGTTTTCATGCTATGAGAAAAATTGCTACTTCTAGAGATATACAATGCACGTTACACACTGCCTTAAAACTTTCGTTAGACTTTGATTTACACATGTAAATCTAATCTGTACTACTACAATCGACTCAAATATTTATTAAACAGAGATGCACAAATGCTGCGTAATTCTTCTATTTAGTGCAGAATCAAATTCCCGCGGTTTTACTGTTTCCGGCAGTGATGGACATTGTGGGAATTTTGGTCATGCGCACTGGAATTTTCCCTCGTGGGATTCCTTTCTGCGCATGCGTAAGCTGACGTCACAGCTACCTGTCGTCCACTACCACAGCCAGTGTGGCCAGATCTGGCATAATTGAGTGCATCGAAATCGACAACAGTGACGACGAACTACCTTAGCGTCTAACGGAATGGTGGGGATAGCAGGCATACACTACCGCACGAGCCACGTGTACGTGAGCTCGGCACTTCGCACAACTTCGGCAAATCGATAAAGAACGCTAGTGTGAGCCTTTCCTTCTTGCTCTTGTAAAAGAGAAACAGCTGAAATACGACCTCGCGATAATCGGCATACGATTCCAAGTCTCGACTGCCCCCAGCATTTTTACTTTCCGACCTATATGTAAGGTATAAGGAAATTTATAAAGTATCATAATGAAAAAAAATTTCGAAATTTTTTTTTAGCGGAAATACACGTTTTGGGACCCCCTGATCATATTGTGACTATTGAAAAAAACGATATTTTTTTTTGTTCCTTTGCTATTGACATGATTGCGTCTAAACGGCTGAATGAATTTCAATGAAATTTAACATTTAAGTTTTATGTTCTCGTTTTAAGGTCTCATTATATTTTAAGCGTGATCAGTTCCCATATAATGATGATTATACGTCTGTAGTTTTATAATTATTTCGATACATATACATCATTTGTAACAAATTTTTAAAGCGATTTATATAAATCTTAAGAAGGATTAAGATCAAATATACTTTTCTCCTATCTTTCCTAGACAGGAAAAATTAAACGAAATCTTATGCCTTGCATACCTACCTAAACCACATAAAAAACGTATTCCACAAATATTTTAGAATAATGTTGTTCAAAGCAGTCTTACTCGTAAAGGGTTAATTAAGGGTTAATTAAAATGAAAAACCACTCTTAGCCAGTACCGTGCACGCTACAGAAATAGATTACTACTGACTTTTCCCACTATGTTTTTTAATAACCGTATCAAATTGTTACACACAATCAAATGTTATATATTTGACTTAACTTTACATAACAAAATAATTGTAACGATAGGTAAAAGAATAACGTGCACGCTACCGTTCAATGGAAACCACGGGAAGGTGGTGGTCACTTCCATCAGGAGGGAAATGTAAAAAATTGTTATTTCTTTGTAACATTATCACATGCCATATATTAGAACGTCTATATTCTTCTTTCCTTTTTTTTTGATTCCCCTCTAAATTCATTTCTGCAAAATGAAATATATTAAATTGTCGTCTATATACTGCTATTCATTCAATAGAACTTTATTTCGTATGTGCCGTAGGTCATTCTGAGACATTTAAATTGAAAAAAAGCTTTCGCGTAGGTATTCTGTAATTTTCTGTTCTTTCGCTTTTCTGCTTTTATATCATGGAAACGGTTGTGAAATCGAAGAATAAGTGTAAGCGCGGTTTTTTATCTTCATGGATAAATGATCATAGATTTAAATCATGGATACGTGCAGTACCCCATGATAGAAGTCGTTTTTATTGTACTTTATGCAATAAGTCTTATTCTTGCGGTTCCTCAAACCTGTATAGACACGGAGAATCTGGGTGTCATAAAAAAAATAGTACTTCTAAAAGGACTTTTATGCCTCAATGGCTTGAGAATGATTATTTCAAGCCATGGTTGCATAAAGTCGACGGCGACCCTTATTCGTGGTTCTGTTCGGTTTGCAACAATCAATTTTCATGTCGATTATCGACGATTTATAATCATGCAGATTCTCAGTGTCACATTGAGAATTATAAAAAGAGTAACGATAACGCAGACAATTTGAATAATAATTTTACGACGCAATCCGAAGAATCGCCTCTGTCGTTGGATGAAAGGATAAAATCCGCGGAAATCAAATTTGCCAAATTAATAGCCGAAAAAAATATTCCGTATCGAACCGCAGAGACGATTCTTGAAGTTTTCAAAGACATTGGGCAAGATCCTGATGTCTTGAAACATATGTCGTTCGGTCGAACAAAGTGTTCAAATATTATATCAAACGTTTTGTATCCTTTAGAAACAAAACGTATTTCTAGTGTTTTACAAAACACTAAATTTTCTATTTATATTGACGAAACATCCGACTCGACCAACGAGAAATGGATGACGTTTCTTGTTCGTTATGTTGCACCCGAGACTTTGGATGTTCGAACGGAATTGGTAGAATTATTACATCTTGATGCCAGAAATTGTGACGCAGATAATTTATTTAAAACATTTGAAATTGCCATGATAGAAAGAGAAATTCCGTTCGAAAATATTGTCGCGTTGTCATGTGACAACGCTGCTGTCATGACAGGGCGACACTCGTCCTTTATGACAAAGCTTGCAACAAAATGCAGGGACAAATTTTTGACTGTCCGCTGTCCGTGTCATCTGTCTGCAATGGTAGTGCGCGAAGCGTGCAATACCATTCCAGACATATGCGAGGAGTTGTTACGAAAAGTAGCAACTTTCATATACAGTAGTCCCAAACGTTCGGCTATATTCCGCGAATTTCAGCAATGTTTTCAAACAACCGACAGAAAAATTTTGAAATTGTGTTCTACGCGATGGTTATCGCATTATACATCCGTAGTTACACTTTTAGAGAATTGGGACTCTGTATTGCTTTTTTTGCAAGAATTGACAATAAGCGAGAAATCAGAGTCCGGGGAACGTCTGTTAATCTCGATGCAAAATCCAGAGGCCAAAGCATATCTTTATTTTCTAAATTACGCTCTTGAGTTTTTTTATAAATTTAGCATTTTCTTTCAAACACAAGAGACAAGAATTCATTTGCTTCAAAAGACTGCGGCAGAACTTTTATGCGATATATTACGCAATTTTCTGAAACCGCAGCTTTTGAAACACATGGATTTAGTAAGAATGATGAATTTTTCTGTAGTCGAAAATCAACTTCCATTTAATAGTATAAATTTAGGAACAGAGTGTCTTAATTTTCTGCATCAACTGAATGCAGAAGGCAAGTCCGACATCGTAGAAACCGTAAGGAAAAATTGTTTAATGTTTTATATTACAGCTGCAAACGAAATTCGTCATCGATTGGCAATCGATGACGAATTTCTTAGGATGTTGTATGTTTTTGAACCAACTTTTATATTAAATGATACAAATAGAGACATTTCCTTCAGAAATGTTCTTTTAATCGCTAAGAAATTCGGCGGTTTCGACGAAGAAGGATTGCAAACAGAATGGTCAGTATTGCCTTTGGAATTTACAACGAAAGGTAGACAGACGCTTATCGAGATGAAATTCGATGGTTTCTGGAAAACAATTTTATTAACGCGAAATTTGGACTATAAAATTAAATTTCCTGAATTGATGAAATTAGTAAATACAATTAGATCACTTCCAAATTCCAATGCCGATGCAGAAAGATTGTTTTCCATGTTACCTGACATAAAAACAAAGAAACGGAATAAACTTTCTTCGGCCAGCGTCAACTCTATTTGCGTTGTGAAATCTTCGTTAAAGGCGCAGAGGGAAAACTCTCAACCCATGGAGGTAGATGACGATCATCTAGCTCTATTGTATTCCAAAAATTTATATCATAGATTTGCTAAGAAGCAAAAGTGTAATTTAAGATTAAACGCAACATATGACAATAACTTTGAGAATTTTCCCGCTACGTCATATGAGGAAAATTAAGGTACCGATTTACTACAGAGCTTTTCTCTAGAGAGATTTTTCTCTCCAGAGAAAAGCTCTATAGTAAATTCGTACTATTAGGCTGCAATGACAGTATAAACGTTTTCATGCGACGTAGGCGCAACAAGGTGTGATGCATGTACCATAACGTCACGCGAAAGCGCTTACACTGCAACCGCAGTCTTGTTAGTGATGTCCAAAATATTTTTTTTTGGACATCGCTAATATGTAAATAGTCGTTCAATTTGTCTCGTGTTGTTACTTTTTTTACGTATTTCGCTTGCTGTAAATACTATTCTGCTTGCTCTAACTATCATTTTTTTTCTTCATTTATTTGCTTATATTTTGCCGTATATTTTTAGTTAGTGAAATTGCTTGCTGTAGATAGTGTGGCTATGACGTAGAATGTCGCGCCTTGTTACACTTACGTCACGGTACCGTAAGAGCAACAATGCACGACATAACGTGCCAGCTTAATCGCAAACGTCCTATCCCGACATCCCATCCTTTGGAAATGTAAACAATTATATCATTTTTCCATTTTTATGGCTCGTGTGTATATTAATAAAAATTAATGCATTCACGAGTTAGTTTTTCATTATATTGTAATTTCATTACATTAATAAAAACATTTTAATATACGGCATGTGATAATGTTACAAAGAAATAACAATTTTTTACATTTCCCTCCTGATGGAAGTGACCACCACCTTCCCGTGGTTTCCATTGAACGGTAGCGTGCACGTTATTCTTTTACCTATCGTTACAATTATTTTGTTATGTAAAGGTTAAGTCAAATATATAACATTTGATTGTGTGTAACAATTTGATACGGTTATTAAAAAACATAGTGGGAAAAGTCAGTAGTAATCTATTTCTGTAGCGTGCACGGTACTGGCTAAGAGTGGTTTTTCATTTTAATTAACCCTTAATTAACCCTTTACGAGTAAGACTGCTTTGAACAACATTATTCTAAAATATTTGTGGAATACGTTTTTTATGTGGTTTAGGTAGGTATGCAAGGCATAAGATTTCGTTTAATTTTTCCTGTCTAGGAAAGATAGGAGAAAAATATATTTGATCTTAATCCTTCTTAAGATTTATATAAATCGCTTTAAAAATTTGTTACAAATGATGTGTATGTATCGAAATAATTATAAAACTACAGACGTATAATCATCATTATATGGGAGCTGATCACGCTTAAAATATAATGAGACCTTAAAACGAGAACATAAAACTTAAATGTTAAGTTTCATTGAAATTCATTCAGCCGTTTAGACGCAATCATGTCAATAGCATAGGAACAAAAAAAAATATGTTTTTTTGTAGTAGTCACAATATGATGAGGGGGTCCTAAAACGTGTATTTCCGCTAAAAAAAAATTTCGAAATATTTTTTTCGTTATTGAAATTCACTTATTGTTAGTCGTTGAGGAACAAAAAAAATGTCTTTTTTTCAATAGTCACAATATGATCAGGGGGTCCTAAAACGTGTATTTCCGCTAAAAAAAAACTTCAAAATTTTTTTTCATTATGATACTTTATAAATTTCCTTATACCTTACATATAGGTCGGAAAGTAAAAATGCTGGGGCAGTTGAGACTTGGAATCGTATGCCACTTATCGCGAGGTCGTATTTCAGTTGTTTTGTCTTTTACAAGAGCAAGAAGGAAAGGCTCACACTAGCGTTCTTTATCGATTTCCCGAAGTTGTGCGCAAGCGCCAAGCTCACGTACACGTGGCTCGTGCGGTAGTGTATGCCTGCTATCCCCACCATTCCGTTAGACGCTAAGGAAGTTCGTCGTCACTGTTGTCGATTTCGATGCACTCAATTATGCCCGATCTGGCCACACTGACCACAGCCGACTCTAGTACATACTAGCCGTGCTATGGAACGTGGCAACACCGCTCATGTGCGAATCGGAAGTCCTATTTTCAATAGTGGAGTTTTGTGTTCAGAATTATAATCAACGTTATTTTGCGATATAAAATTATACTAATATACGGTATTTTTTATTAATTATGTATAAGGAATATATGAATATCATAACTATAGTAAGTAGAAGTAATACAGAAGTATATTAATATTTATAAATGTGGTATATATTTTGTGGACTGTCGGAATAGTTTGGTGTTGTGATGCATTATATTTGAAATATTTACAGAGATTTCAAGAAAATAGAAGTGTGAAACAAGTTAAAACCATCTTTGAACCAAACTGAAGGATTTAAAAATTGATAAAGGTATGTATAAGTTAATAGAGACCTGAAATAGACAAAATTATTGGTACGAGGCCAAACAGGTTAAGTGCCCGTGGAAAAGAGGTTAGCATAATTAGCTATTGAAAGGAACAATTATGGAGTTAATTATAAAATCGTGTTAGAGGACAGTATGATAATTGTGAAAAATTTCCTCACCACCCTAGGGGTATTTACCATGGCGCGTTACCTTTTTTTTTTATTATAATGGGTGGTTCGCCAATAGCCATATCATCCCATTTTCTAAAATAAAATTAATATTTTTAAATAGAACATAACAAAAACATAACTTTTGTGTTCTTAAAGAAATAAAGTATTACATTTTGAAATAATAATAAATAATTTTGAATAATATCAATAACAAAACATATCAAAATATACTTTGAAATTCTCTTGAAATACAACTAATAAAACTTTGAATCTTGCGAAATAGTATTCATAATAAAAATATACTAAGCAAGTAAATAAAATTCTATTAATGTATTAAAACATATTGAAAGGAGTAAGTTAAATATATATAAAAATTAATGTTTTAAGAAAGATGAAATTAAAAAAAATCATTGAAAATCTAGTTCCTATTAAAAGTTTTTAATTTACGATTTTTAGAAGTGATGTCTGTACATGTTTCCGACTGACTATTATTTACAGTTTTCACATAATCGTTTAATAAAATATTTGAAAAAATTGATAATAATTTAAACCAAATACTTTGGTAAGCTCGACCACAAACGCATGTACCTGAAAATGCTAAATAATGTATGTCTGATTGAATGCTAATATATGTTAATTTACATAAAATATGTTTATGATTTCCAGATTGCAAAAATTGAGATTCTAAATTGCCATCGTTTATTATGGCTTCCATTATTGCATACATATGAATAAATGAGGCTATCGCTTCTTCAGTGGGGACAGAAAGGCCCCCTCTTTGTAAGTGATCAAAATATACATCGCCTACAGTTTTACCTTTATCCTCCACAACTAATAAACGACATATATTGCAATTTAATTTTTTAGCAACAGAATGGGACCCATAACCAGAAATATAAATTTTAATGGAATCATCTACAACACAATCGGACAAGTATTCGGTATCGAAGATTCCTGAGAAACAAGTCACATCAGTGGGAAGATCATGAAGATCGTTATTATTGTCATCACAAATTCGAAATTTATTTTTGATTTCAGTAAGAGAAAACGAATTTGCCGATTTTGTAAATATACGTTTTAATCTAATTTTTTTTTCTGCATGAATTATTTCGTTATATGACACATGATAATTACAACCAGATAAAAGTCTATAATTTCCAAGTCGTTTTTCTAATTTTTCGGTTGTAAAATGGAGGTTACGACATTCCTTATAAGCCTTGGACATCTCAACAAAACATTCTCCAGTACACCATTGGGCGATAGAATACCGTGGTACCTTTCAATATCAGTTTCTGCAAAATGCAAACTACAGACGGCAGAATATTTTGATGGTGTCCAATTCTTACGAGGAATAGCAACCCTCCATTTCTCCCGCAATTCCTCATCTTTGGGGAATAAAAATATAGAATTGTAATTATTATCTTTTAAGGTACTATCATAATTTCCCTTGCAATTGGGAACACAGCAACGCCGTGGCATTATTAATGAATATGTGAAATTTATAAAAAAAAATGTATATAAAACAAAATGTCCAAAAATGCTATAGATTATATTAAATAAGTGTGCTACACACCAAAATCAGGATCTGTAGAGTTAATATAAATAAATGAAACACCTGGATTATTGCTCCGTTGCTCACATTTAATGGACTTCGGTACATTAATATTTGAAACATTTGAAAGATAGGCGGGAGACCGGAATGCCGGTAGATGGAGCCTATGTAGCCCAGAGGCCGGTGGGTAGTGGGAGGCTGTTACGGTAGGTTGGGCTAGGTATATCGAAGCCGGACTCCCGCGGTGTTGCCATTTTACCTTCAGCACGGCTAGTAAGTACATACTAGAGTCGGCTGTGCCACTACCATAGATGTGTCTTTAGCGTAAAAAGAGGTGCATGTTGGGAATTCCCATATTTTGTACAAAATTGAACTTTCTACTTCAAATGCCCGCCAATCACACAAAAATTAACTTATCGAAGATCCCCCACGTATTTCTCTAGCTAAACTCGCGTAGATTAAGAGGAAATTTTTTGTTTTTGTCTCTTTCCCTGTAACTTCCTTATATTTTGTTCCTTACTGGGATCCAGCGGTACCTTAAATTCGAGTTAAGTGTATACGGCAGTGATGATGCGCTCCAGTGCGCATGACCAAAATTCCCACGATGTCCATCACTGGATCAGCATAGGTGCTAACGAAGTAGGCTGTGTTATGTGTGTAATAATTATGTTGTTTCCTAGATAAATGTTTAACTCTCTAATTAAGAATCTCTTTAAATTGTTACATCAGATTTTTGTTAAAAGTGATCATTTATAAATAATCGTGAAATTTTGTGCAGTAATCAACAATTTCAAGTTTTGTATCCATGCATTGTTTGTCATTCAAGCATTCTTCGCGTGTAGGTTATGTATGAGATCAAGTCCAGCCAAGGTAAAATCAATTTTTTTCAATCCATTTGAATTATAATCGGAATATCTTCGTTTACAGAAGTTTAATTTTTAAATTAGAATTATACGAGGAATAATACCTGAATAAATTACTGTTTTATCTCACCGTACCCATGCGTGTTATATTTTTAAATGTATTAATCACTGTTTTGTATAAGAGATGCATATATTTAAATACTTTCTGACAAACTAGTATGTATTACCATCAGTTATAAAACTAACGTTCTCGAAAGACTAAAATATAGCAGTCTATCGTCGTAGTCATATATAATACCAATTATATATGGTTCTGTTTTACCTATTCCGTCAGATATGTTTCAAGAATACAACCCGGAAAATTTGCCCTGCAATGAGACATTATGGTTGAGAATGGATGCTTCGTGCTGCATAACATACAATCCTGATTCAAATATAGTATTAACACGCTATATTAGCAAAGAAGACTTTCAATTAGCGCAGAAAGAAACGATACAAAACCTATCTCTATCGGACAATCAACTGCATTATTTACCTGCCAATCTCACAGAATCTATCGCAAATTTAACTTGTCTTAATTTATCTAACAATCGTCTATACGATTTGCCAGATTCTTTAAATCTATTAAAAAAATTAACGTACCTAAATCTTGATTATAACAAATTTCTCTGCATTCCGAATGTCGTCGGGCAATTAACTAGTTTAAAAACACTAAAAGCTCACCAAAACCGCATAACATGTTGTAAAAACAATTTAGAAACCTTGTCGAACTTGGAGAGTTTGGATCTGAGTTCTAATCAACTGAACGATTTACCAAGTTCTTACGCAGGCTTAATTCGTTTAAGAAGTCTTCGCCTTGCGAAGAATGGATTTAAAAATATTCCAGACTGCGTTACGAATGGAATGCCCAGTTTGCAGATCTTTGATTTCTCGCAGAACTGTAATTCGAAGATAGATGTTCCTCCGAAAAGCACAGATTTAATCGCATTTTACGCCGAAAGGAACAACATTTGCCCGTTATTCCCAACGTGGGTGCTAAGTCCCAAATTGGTTCATCTTGAGACAGTGTCGTTGAACGAAACGATATTTCGAAAGTACGATCTGCCGGAAGAGTCGTTCGTGTCGCGCGTTAAAAAGTTGTCTATGAAGCAATGCAAGCTGTTGGAGACGACCGTGGATAAAATAATTGCCGGAACGCCGTGTCTCGAAGAACTGTTAATTGGAAACAGAAGAAATATTCACAAAAATATCTTCTGGTATATGCCGATCGAGACGTTGAAAAAACCGTCCAATCTGAAAGTGCTCGACGCGAGCGGAACAGAAATTCCGTCGATACCAAAAATTATCAAAAGTTTTGTTAATTTGTCGGTAATTAATGTAAGTTGTAATAACGTTAATTGGTTGCCGGATGAAATCTGTTGTTTAAAGAACTTGAGCAGTTTGATCATAGATTGGAACAGTTTAGTGGTTCTTCCCAAGAACATCGGGGAACTGTCGTCGTTGAAAGAGTTGAAGGCGTGCCATAATAGTTTGAACGTAATGCCCGATACTGTCGGAGCATTGACAAACTTGCAATATATCGATCTCTACGACAATGAGTTTGAAACGGTGCCGGAAGCGGTGACCAGGCTGCCAAACTTGATAGGAATGGATCTTGAGCAAAATTATTTTTCGACGGATGATTTATTGGTAAGGACGTAGGCAATGAACACACACACACACCAGTGTGGACAGATATGGCATAATTGAGTGCATCGAAATCGACGATAGTGACGATTAACTTACTTAGCGTCTAACGGAGTGGTGGGGATAGCAGGCGTATACTACCGCACGCGCCACCTGTACGTGAGCTCAGTACTTCGCACAACTTCGGGAAATCGATAAAGAACGCTAGTGTGAGGCTTTCCTTTTTGCTCTTGTAACAGCTGAGATACAATCTCGCGATAATTGGCATACGATTACAAGTCTCGACTGCCCCAGCATTTTTACTTTCCAGGATTTTAATGTTTCAAACGGCAAACAACGTGTATTTTAGTGGAGAATATGTAGAAATTCTAACAATATTGAAAAAGTTGTTCCTTGACACCGTAAAGTGAGAAAAAACCCCTAAAATCGATCCAGTTTTCAAACGGCCATAACTCCTGCAATAGTAAATGGATTCGATTGAAATTTTTTTCTAAAGTAGAGCTCATGGGTGCCTACAAAAGAGTATTAAACAACTTTTCCGTACAGTGCCAACCAAATTTATCAAAAATGAAACACGAATTTTTAAGAAATTCATTATTCATTCGTTATTGTAGGAGTTATGGCCGTTTGAAAATTGGAGTATTTTTATGGGGTTTTTGTCACATTACGGAGTTAAGGAACAACTCTTCGAATATTTTTAGAATTTCTTCATATTCTTCAGCAAAATACGCGTTGTTTGCCGTTTGGAACATTGAAATACCCCAATCCGTTCAAAAGTTATGGCATTTTAAATATTTGCATGTTTTGGGGGTGCATTTCTAGCCTCACATTAGATTTTTGGTCAGGAATTTTTTTCTCGAGAATATGTAGGATTACAGTGTATGTCTATTCACCAAAAATCATTGTAATTGACCCCTGCAATCGAAAATAATTTTTCCAGAACGATTTGAAATTTTTTAATTTTGTCGAAAAATTTCATACATTTTTGAATTTTTTTCTCGAAAGTGGATAAGATTTCGAGGGTATCTCTATCGACCAAAAATGATTGCAATTGATTCCTGCAACCAAAAATAATTTTTCCAGAACAATTTGAAATTTTTTTTTCCGTCGAAAAATTTACGCACCGTTCTGAATTTTTTTCTCGAAAGTGCGTAAGATTTCGGGAGTATGTCCATTCACAAAAAATGATTGTAATTGATTCCTGCAACTAAAAATAATTTTTTTGGAACGATTTGGAATTTTTTAATTGCGCCGAAAAATTTGGCCTTCTTTCTGAATTTTTTTCTCGAAAATGCATAGGATTTCGGATGTATGTCTATTCACAAAAAATAGTTATAATTGACCCCTGCAACCAAAAATAATTTTTTTGGAACGATTTGGAATTTTTCAATTGCGCCGAAAAATTTGGCCTTCTTTCTGAATTTTTATCTCGAAAATGAGTAGGATTTCGAAGGTATGTGTAATCACCAAAAATGATTATAATTGACCCCTGTAATCAAAAATAATTTTTCCAGACTAATTTGAAATTTTTTTTTTCGTCGAAAAATTTAAGCACCCAACCCCGGTCTATTTTTCTTAAAAATTCGTGTTTCATTTTTGATAAATTTGGTTGGCACTGTACGGAAAAGTTGTTTAATACTCTTTTGTAGGCACCCATGAGCTCTACTTTAGAAAAAAATTTCAATCGAATCCATTTACTATTGCAGGAGTTATGGCCGTTTGAAAACTGGATCGATTTTAGGGGTTTTTTCTCACTTTACGGTGTCAAGGAACAACTTTTTCAATATTGTTAGAATTTCTACATATTCTCCACTAAAATACACGTTGTTTGCCGTTTGAAACATTAAAATCCTGGAAAGTAAAAATGCTGGGGCAGTCGAGACTTGTAATCGTATGCCAATTATCGCGAGATTGTATCTCAGCTGTTACAAGAGCAAAAAGGAAAGCCTCACACTAGCGTTCTTTATCGATTTCCCGAAGTTGTGCGAAGTACTGAGCTCACGTACAGGTGGCGCGTGCGGTAGTATATTGTGGCGACAGGTGCGTTTTCTGTGGTGAGGATTGCGCTCTACGTTACCGACGGAAGGTTCAAAGCTAGAGTTTGTTATGATAGAAAAGTTAATATTAATGTTTTATTTTATTGCTAGGAGACGGATACGAAAAAGTTGTTTAACAGATTATAAGAATAAAGTCAGAGGTCTCCATAATTTCTTAAGAGCTGTATTTCTTAGTTTTCAACGGCTACAATATCCTTGCTATCCCCACCACTCTATTAGACGCTAAGGAAGTTCGTCGTTACTAATGTCGACGTTTATTCACTCACTTATGCCAGATCTGGCGACACTGACACACACACTTTCAAAGTCGAATGCGAGCCAAGTTTTAGCGAAATCGAGATGTTAGAATGTACATGTTCTGTATTAATGGGTAAAATCAATAGCTCAATAGGGATGTACGTTATGAAAATATGAGAGACGTTTTGAGGGAACATTGGGACGAAGACTGTAAATTCGTCGATGGAATGAAAGTACAATCGGCAAAAGCTTTTCATTCCTCCGAGGGCGAAGCGAATTCTCCATCCTTGTCGAGATCTACCACGAACAGCTCGCTGGAAAAAGCGAATTTATTTTCTTAGTAAGATTTCACTACACGAACCTTTTTAGAGGAATTACGTCCCGCCATAATCGAGATTCAGCCTAATATCACAACCGTTAGAAACGTTAATTTTTCACTATTTTGTGGAAAATTCGTTAGAAAAGATTTCTATTCAAATGTTGTTTTCGTTTTAGTCCAGAAAATGCGGACGATACGACAAATGAACATTGGGACAGCTCGGAAGATTCAGCCGATGAATTTGATCCTCATGGTAAGATTTATCTATGATATACCGAATTTTTATTTCACCAAAAATATAATTATTTATTTATTTATTTATTATTTTGAATTTATTTAAAATTAAAATTATCAATTTTTCGATCTAGTTTAACCGCACCAAATTATCCTCTAATATCATTTTATTTCTAAATAAAATTTTCATCTAGTTTCACACAGGGTGTTCCGCTAAATCCGGGAAAAATTTTAATTGGGGATTCTAGAGGCCAAAATAAGACGAAAATCAAGAATACCAATTTGTTGATGGAGGCTTCGTTAAAAAGTTATTAACGTTTAAAGTTCCGCCTGTGAGACGGGAACCGTGCGCGCTGTACACTTTAACTTTAAACGTTAATAACTTTTTAACGAAGCCTCAATCAACAAATTGGTATTCTTGGTTTTCGTCTTATTTTGGCTCCTAGAATCCCCCATTAAAATTTTTCCCTGGGGTGGCCGTACACCCTGTATATAAAATTTAATTATTATTTAATAAAATTTATTTAATATATAAATTGTTATATAAAAATTAAAATAGATAATAATTAATCTAAAATTAAATTTAATAATAATTAAAAATTTTAATTTGACAAATTAAATCTTTTGATTGTGACAGAAAAATTTTTTAAATTAAACTAAAATTCTTCAGTTTTTATTAAAATTTCGCTACCTAATTTTTTGTTATCGAGTAAACTATTAATTTTATTATACCTTGATCGTAAACTTCGATTCTGATCAACTCTCATCGGTCAATTAACACTTTACCGACCGGTAGCGGTTGATTAATCGGCTATCGGTCGGTAAAAAAGTTGATTAATACGCTATCGGTCGGTAAGTGTTGGCCGGTAAAAAAGTCGATTAATAGGCTATCGGTCGGTAATGTGTTAAGAGCTATCAGAATGAAAGTTTCGTACCTAATATTTTTTTTAATTATTTGAATAAAAAAAGCTGCTGTTGATGAAATTTTATTTACGAACGTAAGCGTGTAGTTTAAATATTACGCTATATATTATTGCGATGTAATAGAAAACAGTGAAAGTAAGAAAAAGTAAAAATGAATGTACGAAACGATATGGCTTGTTTTCAGAAATTAAAGAACCGAGGAGGCGTGTTTATTCGCCATTCACGTTTTACAAGCCATCCCAGCGTGTCTTTTGTCCTGGAGAATCTCACAATAAACGGATTATAACGCGAGTTAATAAAATGTTGCGAAATGGAACTCTAGGCTCGTCGACGAATTTCGAAGAAGGTCAGTTCGATGATCCTGAACTAACAGCTTAACGAAAACAGCGTAGTGGCTGGTCGTGCAGTGTTGGTGCCAAATCGTGCACTTTTTTTACTAACAATTATTTAAATGTATTTCAAAGTTGTCTTTTAGTTTTTTCTTATCGAAAATGGTAAAAGAGAGAGGAGAAGGAATTTGGCACAAAATAGAACATGAAATTAATTTGGCCATCAAATGTAATAAATTACCAATACTAATCGATATTTTTTAGTTTATCCAAATGTGCTAACAAAATATACATACAGTATTCTTGTTATTAATGTTGTCGGATTACTTTCATATGATATATCTGCATAACGTATTATCGTAATAATATTTATTAATACATGTTATCATTACAACTGATCGATTAGGAGTGGGCCCGTAGAACGAAGGTGTCGCGTGCGCTGTTTTGTGACGCAAGAGCCATCTGTGGCAAACTCAGTCACTTAACATAGGGTTCATTTTCCAAAATTTAATATCGAATTTATTTCCCAGGCGGAAAATTTTCCAATTCCTTTTAGCAGTATGTAAATACATACACAACGCTTTTTATGTTGTGATAGAACATCCTGTAAACGTATTTATCGATACAAATCGCACCCAATGTAACACTATAGTTTCTTACTCGGTATGTGTAGTTTGATATTTATGAATCTTTAATTTGTATTTTGAAAATAATTTTTTTTATTTATAAAAAGTTATCGATGCTTGTACAATTAATTACGATTATGTTAAACTTGTTTTATAAGCGCAAAAGCATTTCTTATTTTGTATTGGACATTATCGTCGTACCGTAAAAATGGATGCTCAACTTGTATGCTTCCGGCTTCCACTTAATTAATGCACATTTCCAATTAACAACTCGAGCAACAGTTCATTTGCAAGTATCTGTGAAACATACATTTTCATATTTCTCTGCTCTCCGCGATCCCTTATCTTTCTTTTCTTTCCTTTTCTTCGCTTTTGACCTGCAGAGCTCCCTCTTTTCGCTCTCTTTTCTCTCACGGCTGATCTTATCTAAATAAATGAAACGAGCTCCGGAGTTGAAATATTCTGAATAAAAATGAAATTACTTTATATGTATGTACTGTACCTTTAGAAATTAAATTACATTTGCAGCATACGCACTGTTGATAATCTCCCTGGCTTTGATATCTTTCGCGTTTCTTAACACTTTTCTCCAAAGTTATCCTTGATTCGAGGAAAAATAATGTACTATCGAAGACGTACAAAGCAAGCGATCTTGCTAGTTTTTATTCTCCCTGTTTACGCACTTTTTGTCCCGATTTCTCTGCTCCTTTTCCCTCTTCTTGTCCTGGTGGAAGCTCCTTTGGAGGAAACTGAATCGTTGTCTCTTGTTGCGTTTCTTGTCTTTCGTCTTCTGCACGCAAACCGAATTCGCGTATTTATCCAAAGGGATATGGTTACTTGGACTGCACGCTGAACATTTTCCAGTGCATCCACCCTCGACGTCTGAACATGAGCATACATATTCGTCGTTCCATTCGAAATGATCGGTAATAGTGTCTTTGTCCTGTTTATTCGTGGACCAATTATACCTGATCACGGAACATGCAAATCGCAAGTAGTCAATTGACAATGATCGCAAGCTCTTTGTAGAAAGGTTGCTTGTACCGTTAGGGTTGTTACGATAATTACTTGAATCTTGTACCACGGGCCTTCGAATCACTTTTCCTACGAAGGAAATAGGCTGTCACGAGACAGAGGATAACGAAGAATAGAACGAACAAGATCGAGCAACAAATCGATCTATGTTGTTCGAGGTAATCCTTGCTCGCTTTAGATTTATTTTCTTTCTTTTTCAATTCGTGAACTTTCTGGCTGAAACGTTTGTTTTAAAATGTACAATGCGTTACTACATCTCGGATTAAAAGCATGTTTCTAACACCGTATTCGTAAACTCCCTTTCTTAATGAAATTATTTACGTGTCTCTTGATAATTCTTACGCGGCGACGTGTCCCCTTTTCCTCTTTCTCTTTTCTTTTTTCGAAGAATGCTTATCATTTCCTGACAAGTGTCTTCTGGACACTTTGTGTTCTGTGAACTCAAAGTTATTCGATCTGTCGTTTTCTCTCACATACTTCGCCAGGTCAGGTCGCCCTAACCATCTCAGCGTCATCTCCATCGCCGATCGTCCATCAGATTCTCTGCTCCCTACGATTATATCCATTTAGGAGCTATTTAAGTTTTGATTAACACTAGTTTTACGGAACATGTGAATTTGACGCATTCAGATTCTAACCTAACCTTACAGAACTCGTAAATATGAAACCTAAGTTAGGTTTTGAATATGCAAATGCGCCTTATCTTTCTTTTGTTTGTGGCTGTGCCCCCCCCATACTTCTACCATTTTTCATGGTTGGGCTGATGCCCAGTGATGGACATTCGTGAGAATTTTGCTCATGCGCACTGGAATTTTCCCTTTCTGCGCATGCGTAAATGACGTCACAGCTACCTGTCGTCCGCTACCATAGATGTATCATTAGCGCAAAAAGAGGTGCATGTAAGGGGCCTGTTGGGAGAATTCCAACATTTTATTAGCTGACACCTAATTTAGTTTAATATTAGCTCAAGGGATAAGACCACTGAAAAAACCTGAAATAGAGCGTTCTCTTGAGATTTTTTTTCTGAATGAATGGAAAAGTAAGAGGATAATAATATTCAATGTTATTAATCATGTCGTTAAGCGTGTAATAAAAAATATTTATTCAAAAATAGTAGCTAGAGAAACACGTAGGGGATCTTCGATATGTTAATTTTAGCATTATTTATTGACAAATGATTGCCCCATGTTTTGTACAAAATTGAACTTTCTACTTCAAATGCTCGCCTTAACACATTACCGACCGATAGCCTATTAATCGACTTTTTCACCGGCCAACACTTACCGACCGATAGCGTATTAATAAACTTTTTTACCGACCAACGCTTACCGACCGATAGCCGATTAATCAACCGCTACCGGTCGGTAAAGTGTTAAGTATTTTACTTAAATTTTGTTCCTTACTGGGATCCAACGGTACCCTAAATTCTAGTTAAGCGTATACGGCAGTGATCATGCGTTCCAGTGCGCATGACCAAAATTCCCACGAATGTCGATCATTGGGCCCCAGTTGTGCCCCGCTTCTTCACTTCCAGCAGTTTCCATGATCTTTTTTTTCACTTGTCTCATCACGTGTTCGTGTGCAAGCATGTAATTTTGTATTAATCTTTATTAACAAACCTCGTTTATTTCCTTTTCGTAAATCTGTGCGTCACATTGCTTCAACCTATAAACCAACGGGCCTTGGTTTGGTTAGGTTTAGGGTTAGGTTAGGTTACGTAACTCAAACCTAACCCCACTTAAAAGAGAAGCTGCATTTTAATGTAACTGTTAGCACAGGGGATTGCAATAAAACTACGCGCATTGTGTGTCCGTAAATCTAGTGTTAAATAATCTACAGCCTATTAACCCTTTGCGGTCGTATTAATTTTGTACGTGGGTGTCGTACTGGTCGGAATTAATTTCCGTTGAAAGAACAATGTCACATGTAAGATTATAAAAGATAAACAAGATGTATTAATTCTTTTGTGAACTTTACACATATTTTTACACAACAATGTGTTTTAATTTTTTATGTAAAAATTATATTTTATAGTTCTCCATCGTGTGGTAGCTTTCGAAACAGTCTCCAACATGCAGTCCTGGTTTTCGACTACATGTATCGCAATAATAATTATTTTGGCGTCTTCCGCCCTTAATCTTTTTGTTTCAACATACAATCTTTGCTTTTTACGTCTTCCCAATGCTGCAATATATGCATTTTTTCATTAAGCGTTTCCTCTTTATCTGAGGTCGATGGTCTTCCTGGTTTAGAAGTTGCTCACGAAAATCACCTACAAGTTGTTCCAACAATTTTCGGACAAACGTAAAATGTGACATAGGTGTCCTGTTCTCTCTTTTAGCTGACACCTTATATAAGATGTAGCTATTGATCGCACAAACCTCTAATCCCCAGAAAAACATTTTCCTCCGCCATTTGCAAGATTTTCTCATAAAACGATATGAACTTGCTAATTGGTCAGTTTTATCGACACCTCCCATATTCATATTGTAATGTTCAATAACATTTGGTTTGCTAATGTTGACGGTGTCTGAAAAAGATCTCGTTGAAATATTGGTTCTCGATTGTAGCTGATCTCTGTGCGTAACGTCTCTCCAAGTTCTCATTTTCATCATTTTCTTCTGCTTCACTGTCGCTGGATATAATTAATTGTCCCACTTGTTGCTTCACTGAAACTACGTCACTACCAGAGTCACTACAAACGTAATCACTTTCTATACGTCAGTACTCAAGGAGTCAAAATAAAACTCTTCGTCGCTACTTTCAGTTTCACAGTACACTTCTTTCGGCAACTTTCTTTTTGCCATTTTCTATGTAAGTATCTTCGAACCTTGTCGATTTCTTTACGCACAAGAGGCGACTGACTCGCCACCACGTCTTGCATGGTGCGAGGGGTGACAGCTTTCGTTTGTACTAGGTTCCGCTATCTACAAATGATAGGAGCACCGCAATGGTTCGTGAATGGATTCTTTGGACATTCAGGTTCGTTCAGCTAAAGCGTAAACTGACACATGGTCGGATAAAGTATAAGATTAGTACGGTTCCTTGATGTGGTGGCTGAGAGCAGACATACGACCGCAAAGGGTTAATTGAATGTAATTTTCTGTACTTGGAAAATCACTGTTCCACTGTTCGAGGTTAACGAGACACTCGTTCGTAGTCGGGAAATCACTTGAATCTCCGTGTTCGTTCACTTTGTGTTCCAGTTTCAACGGTGTCAAGTCGTACGCGGCTTTCACGAGTCGCAGACATTCCAGAGGATTCAATTTCTGCGACAGATGAACGAGCTCGGTCTCTTCGAGGTCGATACATCGAACGAGAGGCTCTTCCTTGAAATGAAAACGTCCGTTTCGCGCGAGAGGAGAAATCATTCGATTATTTTCACACTAAAACGGGAAATAGATGTTGCCCGGCTCACCCTGTTCCCTGCGAAAACGACCATCAAAACGTAAATCCGTGCAAACGGTGTCATTGTAACCGACCAGTCGCATTTCGCTGTCAAAAGTGTAACTGCAACTGACTATCGATTACAGCTACCATATTTACAAATCTGTTGCATCGAGGAATGAAATTTCCGAAAGATTCATTAACGTCTGAACGTATGCTCGGGTCGCAAGTTTTCGAAATAATACAACCGATCAACTATGAAGTTAGAGATGATCAAGTGTGTATTCTAGTACGTTGTATTCTCTTTCTGACGTTAATTCAAACAAACAGTATCGCCGAACACGTACGTTGCGCCGTTAAACGAGACTTTTTATTCGAGGTTATCATTCGTTTATTTATTTTAACACTTAAACTTGTACGAAACATGGGGGTTAAAACGCGTCAGCTTTTTAAGTATTATCGTGTTGAAAAATGAAGGTTATTAAAATTTCACATTGCATTTAGCCGTAGATGGTCAGAGAAACGTATTTCTTTGAAAGAATCTGTGGAGAATGCGATGAAATAGCGCGTCAAACGTATTGGAGCCCCTGATGAAATTTGGAAACATTTGGAAAAATGCAGCGTTTCTATTTTTCCTTTCCTGTGTCGCTTCCTTCTCCCAGGTACACTTTCCGATTCGACGTTTTAACTATTTAAAGCGATTAATCATTGTACCTGTTTCGCAAAGATTATTGCTGCGGAGGTCGATGTGCCGGAACTCGAACTGTTAGCATCGAATTTGAAACCGGAAGAGTGCGTAAGACTCGTCTCCTTGGATTCCCAGTGTAAGTTTACCATAAGTGTGAAAAGTATTGTAACAGACGAGGTATACGAGTAGAGCTTTCATCCAATGTATTCTTTCGGACCATTTTTCTGGGGCTCTAGAGCCTTATTACCATTTTCGTGTCACTCGCAACGTTACCAACAGATTTCGAAATAAACACAAGCGGAAGTGAGACAGAAAATGAAATTACACAAACATTCCTGGCCACACATATTTCCGGTAAGGAATTTTTTTCTCGAAAATGGGTAGGATTTCGAAGGTAGGTCTAATGACCAAAAATGTTTGTAATTGACCCCTGCAAACGAAGATAATTTTTCCAGAACGATTAGAAATTTTTTAATTTTGTCGAAAAATTTCATACCTTCTTGAATTTTTTTCTTGAAAATGGATAGGATTTCGAAGGTAGGTCTATTGACCAAAAATGATTGTAATCGATCCCCGCAGCTGAAGATAATTTTTCCAGAACGATTTGAAATTTTTTAATATTGTCGAAAAATTTCATATCTTCTTGAATTTTTTTCTTGAAAATGGATAGGATTTCGAAGGTAGGTCTATTGACCAAAAATGATTGTAATCGATCTCCACAGCTGAAGATAATATTTCCAGAACGATTTTAAATTTTTTAATTTTGTCGAAAAATTTCATACCTTCTTGAATTTTTTTCTTGAAAATGGGTAGAATTTCGAAGGTATGTCTAATGACCAAAAATGTTTGTAATTGACCCCTGCAAACGAAGATAATTTTTCCAGAACGATTTGAAATTTTTTAATTTTGTCGAAAAATTTCATACCTTCTTGAATTTTTTTCTTGAAAATGGATAGGATTTCGAAGGTATGTCTAATGACCAAAAATGTTTGTAATTGACCCCTGCAAACGAAGATAATTTTTCCAGAACGATTTGGAATTTTTTAATTTTGTCGAAAAATTTCATACCTTCTTGAATTTTTTTTTCGAACATGAGTAAGATTTCGAGGGTATGTCTAATGACCAAAAATTATTGTAATTGATCCCTATAATCGAAAATATTTTTTTCAGAACGATTTGAAATTTTTTAATTTTGTCGAAAAATTTCATACATTCTTGAATTTTTTTCTCGAAAATGGGTAGAATTTCGAAGGTATGTCTATTGACCAAAAATGATTGTAATCGATCCCCGCAGCTGAAGATAATTTTTCCAGAACGATTTGAAATTTTTTAATATTGTCGAAAAATTTCATATCTTCTTGAATTTTTTTCTCGAAAATGGGTAGAATTTCGAAGGTATGTCTAATGACCAAAAATGTTTGTAATTGACCCCTGCAAACGAAGATAATTTTTCCAGAACGATTAGAAATTTTTTAATTTTGTCGAAAAATTTCATACCTTCTTGAATTTTTTTCTTGAAAATGGGTAGAATTTCGAAGGTATGTCTATTGACCAAAAATGATTGTAATCGATCCCCGCAGCTGAAGATAATTTTTCCAGAACGATTTGAAATTTTTTAATATTGTCGAAAAATTTCATATCTTCTTGAATTTTTTTCTCGAAAATGGGTAGAATTTCGAAGGTATGTCTAATGACCAAAAATGTTTGTAATTGACCCCTGCAAACGAAGATAATTTTTCCAGAACGATTAGAAATTTTTTAATTTTGTCGAAAAATTTCATACCTTCTTGAATTTTTTTCTTGAAAATGGGTAGAATTTCGAAGGTATGTCTAATGACCAAAAATGTTTGTAATTGACCCCTGCAAACGAAGATAATTTTTCCAGAACGATCAGAAATTTTTTAATTTTGTCGAAAAATTTCATACCTTCTTGAATTTTTTTCTTGAAAATGGATAGGATTTCGAAGGTAGGTCTATTGACCAAAAATGATTGTAATCGATCTCCACAGCCGAAGATAATTTTTCCAGAACGATTTTAAATTTTTTAATTTTGTCGAAAAATTTCATACCTTCTTGAATTTTTTTTTCGAACATGAGTAAGATTTCGAGGGTATGTCTAATGACCAAAGATGATTGTAATTGATCCCTGCAATCGGAAATAATTTTTCCAGAATAATTTAAAACTTTTCATTTTCGTCGAAAAAAGGCAATTTTCCTGTCAATTTTCCTTAAAAATTCGTTTTTGATTTTTAGTAATTTTGTTTGACGCCGTATAGAAAAATTGTCTAATACTTTTTTGTTGGTACCGATGAGTTCTACTTCAGAAAAAAGTTTCATTGAAATATATTCACTATTGCAGGAGTTATGACTGTTTAAAAATTGGTCCATTTTTATGGGGTTTTTGTAACTTTACGGGGTCAAGGAACAACTTTTTCAATATTGTTAGAATTTCTACATATTCTTCGCCAAAATACACGTTATTCGCCGTTTGAAACATTAAAATCGTCCAATCCGTTCGGGAGTTATGATGTTTTAAAGATACGCTATAAATTTTCGGGTGCCATTTCTGGTCCGAAATTATATTTTCGGTAAGGAATTTTTTTCTCGAAAATGGTTAGGATTTTGAGGGTATGTCTAATGACCAAAAAATATTGTAATTGACCCCTGCAATCGAAGATAATTTTTCTAGAACGATTTGAAATTTTTTAATTTTGTCGAAAAATTTCATACCTTCTTGAATTTTTTTCTTGAAAATGGGTAGAATTTCGAAGGTATGTCTAATGACCAAAAATGTTTGTAATTGACCCCTGCAACCGAAGATAATTTTTCCAGTACCGTTTTGAAATTTTTTAATTTTGTCGAAAAATTTCATACATTCTTGAATTTTTTTCTCGAAAGTGGATAGGATTTCGAGGGTATGTCTAATGACCAAAAATGTTTGTAATTGACCCCTGCAACCGAAGATAATTTTTCCAGAACGATTTGAAATTTTTTAATATTGTCGAAAAATTTCATACATTCTTGAATTTTTTTCTCGAAAATGGTTAGGATTTTGAGGGTATGTCTATCGACCAAAAATGATTATAATTGACTCTAGCCTTCAAAAATAATTTTTCTAGAATGATTTGATACTTTTCAATTTCGTCGAAAAATTTGGACACCTACCCTCCGTCGATTTTCCTTAAAAATTCGTTTTTGATTTTTAGTAATTTTGTTTGACGCTGTATAGAAAAATTGTCTAATACTTTTTTGTTGGTACCGATGAGCTCTGCTTCAGAAAAAAGTTTCATTGAAATATATTCACTATTGTAGATGTTGTGGTCGCTGGAAAATTGCGTTTTTTAATCCGTTCACACACTACAGTTGTTGCCCATAAATGCTAATTCAATGAATAGTTTCTCAATTGACCGCCATCCATGAGAAGAGGTCGCTGCAATCACCTCCGAATTTTCAGGTCGGTATGGCAGTCAGATTGGGCCACGAAAGTCCATAAGGCAAAATGTCTACTCGTATACCTCGTTTGTGGTATTTTTTACATGTTGCTTCTACTACCATTTCCACTGCACTTTCTACAGGGTGTTACGTTTAAGTACGAATGGTGGAATATCTCACGAGGTATTGAAGGTATCAAAAAAGTGTTCTTACAAAAGTTGTTTTATTTAAAGGGGCAAATTAGGTGGTATAAATGATTTTTGTATAGGTGGAGTGGTGGGGGAAATTTCAAGGTCAAGCTAATTTTTTTAAGGGAGCAGTATCATGTGTACGTTGCAAAATTTAACCATTTTCATTAATTTTTTTTAATTAAATGTTACATCTAACGCTATAATTTATTTTTGAAATTTACTTAACTATCCTTTGGGAATACGAAATAAATTTTTCAATTATATTTATTGACTTTTCAAGTTTTTATTACGCCCACAGTAAACATGTGTTTAAACACTGGCGTAGATGATTGCAGCTCTCAAGATTGACTAAATCTAAACTAAAACTAGGGACTTAAATAGATGGCGCTTCCTTCACCTGTGACGTTAACCGCCACACAGCGCCACCTCTCGGCGAGCACGCCTAAACATATCTAGGGTTTTCGTATGAGGTTGAACCCTCTCTTCTTCGCGTGATCTCATGGAACAAGCTAGATGTTCCCATGTGCCTATACTACAGGGTGTCTCACCCGATTTTGACATCTTGACTTGAATTATTTAAATTCTTAAGGCATCATTACTAACGCACTAAGACGTTAGCTCTGTTTACCAACGTTAGACTAGCCGATACATTAAACAACGTAAACCAGTCATTACTTGATCGATTTAATAAATGCCGTGATGTAAATGGTCGTTACGTTGAACCATTCCTGTAAATAAACGCTAACGTCTTAGTACAACAGTAATGGTGTTTTAGAATTATTTAAATTGAAATATCACCTGAACTACTAATTTTTCGACGTTACATAGTTAGTACTTTTTTATAACGATTGCCCAGCTGAATCGATTGATGTATTAAAAAATACCTCATTCCATTTAAAAAAACAAAGCTGACCTTCATATGACCTTTACGCGTCCACTCACGAAAAAACTAATAACATCAGAATATGCTCCATTCGATACCATTCAAGCCTCCGCTGAAACATTCTTTGTTACGAGTAACAATAGCGAGAAAATCAATATGTCAAAATCGTGTGAGACACCCTGTATGTCATGTAATAATTTGCCTCTTTAAATAAAACAACTTTTGTAAGAACACTTTTTTGATACTGTAGGGAGCATAAAGTAACTCCCTAGTTACTCCCGCAGATGGCGCCGATGCCAACCGTCGAGATAGAGGCCGTGGTGCTCTAGGGGATTTGTCTCTATACATTCCGTGGTCCTCGCGAGACACGAGACAGTCAGAGAGTCTTCTCCAAGCCAGCCTGTCTTCCAGACAGTTGCCAACTGCGCCATCTGCGGGAGTAACTTGGGAGTTACTTTATGCTCTCTACAATACCTTCAAAACTCATCAGATATTCCACCATTCGCATTTAAACGTAGCACCCTGTATAAACAATTCGAAAAGATTTTTAACGCAACGTACATAACAGCTCCGCTATCGGACGCAGAAATACAGAAACTGGCCAAAGAGCAGAGCTGCTTTCGTAGGCTGGTCAAATGGATTTGTCAGTTAAAAACAGTTACAAAAAACACGTATCCGATCGTGAACGACTTCCTTGAACGCATTGGAAGGAGAGACTTGATCGCGTGTCTCTCAGAATTTAGTATGAAAAGTTCCAAGCCGCCAAAGGTGATTCGCGACGTTCAGTCGGCCGACGATTCAGAGTGAGTCGAGTGGATAATCGATTAGTTAAGGTTTACAAATCTATCATTCTTCCACGAGAAGAAGGCACAGCGTGTTTACATCCCCACTCCTGTTGCAATCCGCTGACTCACAGGCATTGGTCGAAAACAGTGACGAAGATCGGTGACAGCCAATCGGTGGACTGCAGGAAGAGTGGGGATGTAAACACGCCTTCTTCTCGTGGAAGGACGATAAATGAGCATTTATATGCATATCTATTTTACTAACATTTTCTTAAATATATTAGAGACGAAGAGGGTGGCGTAACAACGTCAACGGAAACCATTCGATCGAAGGACGTTACAGCCAGCACTCAAAACACAAATCAAACAATTGATAAACTCAGTGGTAATTTACCGTCTCGTTAAGGGGGCAGTCTCATGTGAGACCTCAAAAAAGTCAATTTTTTTCTCATTCCTTTTTTTCAAAGTATATATATCATTCAAGAATGTTCGGAACATTCCTAGCAAACGGCCCGTTCAACGATCGGGATGAGTTATACGTCATTCGATTCGTCTAATTCAGTACATTATTGATATGCATTTCGTTATCTGCGGAAATTCATTACTTTTTTATAAAACTTGTAAAGTTACAGTAAAAAAGTAAGGTTAAGTACATTTTTTTGGCAGGTGCACAGGTAGAAACAAGTGACTATCGTTGCTATGTTCATATTACAAATTATAAATGATTGATCTAATTTGATAATGCTACATTGTCAAATGGGGATTTGTAGAACGTGTATGCATAAAAATTATTCTTTTACGCATAGACTTTGCACGAGTCGGTCAGGTATACAGTATACGCCGCAACAATTAACCCTCCCCCCCATATAACCCAGACCTACTCAGACAGTACTTATACGTAGACAGTACATGCAGCAACAGTAAGCAATGTTTCCACACCACTCTGACAGTGTTTATGGGTAGACGATGTAATAAATTACTATTGTATGCAGTGCGTTGGTTTAACTTTTTTTTATTGTTAAATTTCATTATCATCTAAGTCTGGTATATTTTGATTTTCTACCGAATCAAATGAAATTTCTGAAATTTCTTTTAATAACTGATTAAATAAATCATTCTTCCCTTGCTTGGAAGATTTATAAAATATGTAATGGCTTAAGTACCCAATGAAATTATCATTTTTGCTGAAAATAGAAAATATTTATGGTACTGCTACTAACCGACAATATTCACGCAAAAGTTGTTTACCATGCCTCCACGTAGTTTCTATTGTATTCGTATAAGCGTCTGTTTCTGGGTGTTTAAAATGTAAACTATGATTTACGGTGAGATGTGTATACCCGTCTTCTTCCAAAATATTGTAGGCTTTCCAACAATCTGAGATAATTGTAGTTCCAGGCAACACCCGCTGTTTAATTATTGAAAGAAGGGATCCTGTGTCCCTACTTTCAATAGGGACCAGGAATATTTTCCCACTTTCCCTTTCTATTCCTCTGAAAACCCACTGTCTTTCCACACGATGATCTCTATGATATTTTCTTCTGCCGAATTTAGACTCGTCATTTTTTACCTTTTTGGCATTTGTTTATTTTAATTCCTGAATGGGAGTCAGAGGGTCAGGGGGATCAAAGGGTAATATTTAACCCTTTGCGGTCGTATGTCTACTCTCAGCCACCAAAGCCTTTTTACCGTTCTGGTCGTATGTCTGCTCTCAGCCACCACAGCAAGGAACTATAAGAATCGTATACTGTATGCATTCATGTATCAGTTTACACTTTTCCTATACGAACCTCAATGCCTAAAGGACCTATTCACGAACCAATACGGTGCTCCATCAATTGGAGATAACGTAATTTAATGTACACAAAAGTTGTAACTCAGTGCTCGCCATGCAAGACGCAGTGGCGAGTCATTTGTCTTTTGAACATAGTGAAATCGACAACGTTCGACGATACCTTGTAGATTTCCAAAGAATATTTTATAAATTGTATTTAACAGTAATTAGACATTCTCTCTTCTTAAAATATTCCAAAATAATTCCCCAAAATGCAATACATGCACTCGAAAACCTGGCCTGCATGTTGGAAAGTGTTTTGAAAAATATCACACGAAGGAGAATTATAAAACATAATTTCTATACAAAAACATATCACAAGATGAGTGTATTGAATAAAGATATATCTAAAGTTCACAAAAGAATTACTAAATCTTGTTTATACATCGTAAACTTGCGTGTTATGTATCCCTGCTCTATCAACGGAAATTAATTCCGACCAGTACGATACCCATCTCCAAATTTAATCCGACCGCAAAGGGTTAAGGGCCCACAGGGTCACAACAGTGCTTCTTACGCTCAAATATGCTCAAACGTGGTAGTCTAGAATAAGGTGCACCATTATTGACTTTTGATCCCCTGTATCTCAGAAACTGTTCAATTTACGAGCTTGGGCCCATTAGAACTTTTCATCAAGACATAATGAACTACATCGTATCAAAAGTTCAGCTAATTTAAATGGGGGGCCATTTTCCATAAGATCTGTGCGGGGTGCTTTCATTCAATAAATGTCTAACAAATTAGCATTTGACTACCTGGCATTTTGAACACAGTAACGACAGTCACTTGTTTCCACCTGTGAACCCGTCAAAATATACTTAACCTTACTTTTTTACTGTAATATTACGACAAGTTTATAAAAAAATAACGAATTTCCGCAGATAATAAAATGCGTATCAATAATGTCCTGAATTAAACGAATCGAACGACGTATAACTCACTCCGATCGTTGAACGGGCCGTTTGCTAGGAATATACCGAATGTTCTGTTAAATTTTGAGAAATGAGTGTCAAGTATTGTGGATTGTAGAACATTTATTGCTTAGAGTGATTACCTTGTATAGCCCAAATATTATTGTTTCGAAAGGTTTACGACAGGATCAATCTGCTGTTTTTAATCTCTTAGGCACGATGCGCCACCGTAGTGGTTTTCGCGGATGCCATCTTTCTGAACGACGCGTTGCTACAGTGGCTCACTCTGGCGGTTTACTCTAGTGGCTCACTCATTCACCGTTTGAATTAAATTTTGTTTCATACTTTTCTTGCCTTCACAACGTTTTATAACAGCATTAACAATATACAGTCGTTGTTTTCGATACGCCAGTGTCAGGTATGAATTGTTGCTTTCCATTTAAATAAATATACCATTTGCTCCATTGCATACCAATGTACTCACGTAGAGAACAGCACTGTCGTACAGAGAAACAGCAAAATTCAACTGTGCCTAATAGGTTAAAATTCGAAATTCTAGCATTAGCGCCATCTAGGTGGCAACGTTCTAGAATTAGTATGATCTTGCAGACTTTGAATGCGTTTCTCAAGAAATGTTACTTTCTCAATTGACGTACATAAAATCTCAAAAACAATACGTTCGATTGGTCTGAAATTTTTACACGTTGTTCCATATACTCATAGCTCTCGTCTGAATCAAAATTATACTTTTATAACGAGTATATCATATACTTTTATTAAAAAGTTTGCGGAAGAAATGAAAAAATTTTGCAATTTTTAATTCAAGCTTTCGCCATTTTGCCCAATTTTCAGCTGTTTAGTAATTAGACTTAATTTCGTACAGAAATGAAACTTATAACTCGGTAGAACAGGAACCTTTATTCGAGGAAAACGGAAAAGCTTAACCTACTATAGCGCCGCATAGCGGCATCGCTTGATAACAGAAGGCGCGAAATTCAAACTGAATATTCTAACATCAACATAAATGAATTATTTTGCTACGAGCGATAACGAGAACCCCACCGAATAAAAATCTTTTTGATTTAGTCAACCTTGAAAGCTGCAATCACCTACGCCATATTTAAACACATATTTACTGTGGGCGTAATAAAAACTTGAAAAGTCAATAAAAATTATTGAAAAATTTAATTTGTATTCCCAAAAGATAGTTAAGTAAATTGGGGAAAATAAATTATAGGGTTAGATATAGTATTTAGTTAAAAAAATTAATAAAGATGGTTAAATTTTGCAACATACACATGAGACTGGCTCCTTAATATTCCACGATTCTCTATTAACACTTTACCGACCGGTAGCGGTTGATTAATCGGCTATCGGTCGGTAAGCGTTGGTCGGTAAAAAAGTTCATTAATACGCTATCGGTCGGTAAGCGTTGGTCGGTAAAAAAGTCGATTAATAGGCTATCGGTCGGTAATGTGCTAATCGTCTGTGTATTTCGATTAATCGCAGGATCTACTAGCATCAGGGTATCGCTACAAACCGCAGGGATTGTTATGATCACGACTATACTTTTAACTTGTTGTTGCACTTTATTTATAAGGTACAGGCTAGCGAATCTATTTAATAGTATATTTCGGCGAAACAAGAAGAAGAAGAAGAAAACTAACAAGTTAAAGGGGTAACTAACTGGGATTTAATTGTTTCGTTTATCGAGCTAACATTTCGAATGCCATAACAAACGAGCAGTACTGTTTCTTCGATCAGTAAATATGTAACGATCGACACGGACGATCCGGAGGACGTGTCCAGAAGCTACGTTGTTCGAAAGTCACGAGCAAAGCGGAAGAGGGCGCCGTCTTACGAATTAGTAGACACTGGCACGCAAAATACTATAACCGTGGTGCCCAAAGAACCCGAAGAAACACCGCCCACGGGTTGTTCCAAGTGCTACAAAAAGAAAAGAAAAGTGAAAAGTGCGAAAAGCCCGCACAGATAAAACGTGTCAAATGTCAATGTACGATTGTCTGATGGTAGTAAATAAACAATCACAACTTACGGATTTGCGGTCACCGGGTTTTATTAACACTTTACCGACCGGTAGCGGTTGATTAATCGGCTATCGGTCGGTAAGCGTTGGTCGGTAAAAAAGTCGATTAATAGGCTATCGGTCGGTAATGTGTTAATTCTAGTCAGTTCTTTGTTTCGAGGTCATGCAATCGTTTGTTTTCTTTTTTGAACGAGTGAGCCACCAGAGTGAGTCACTGATGCGTCGTTCGGAAGAATGACATCCGCGAAAGCCTTTACAGTGGCGCCACTGTGGCCAGATCTGGCACAATTGAGTGTATCAACGTCGACATTAGCACAGACGAGGTATATGCCGAGTTATTCTTTTAATAAATGATGTATTACAATTTAAAATAAAAAATAGAGAATTTGCGGTGTAGGTATCAATGAAATACATCCTTAGGAAATTTAATAATCTTGAAATTTTTAAATACTCTTAATCGATTGATTACTCCAATGAAATTAATCGATTAATGTCCAATGATGGACCGTACAGCTTTCATTCCGTTAAAAAATAATAAAATTTATGTAATTTTATTCTCTGTCTCACTTCCTCTTGTGTTAATTTCTGAATCTGTTGATAACGTTGCGAGTGACACGAAAATGGTAATGGGGGTCCCGGGACCCCAGAAACTCGGGCCGAAAAATTACATTAGGGGAAAGGTCTATTCATATACATCGTCTGTGACATTAGTAACGACGAACTTCCTTAGCGTCTAACGGAGTGGTGGGGATAACAGGCATATTGTAGCCGTTGAAAACTAAGAAATACAGCTTTTAAGAAATTATGGAGAACTCAGACTTTATTTTTATAATCTGTTAAACAACTTTTTCGTATCCGTCTCCTAGCAATAAAATAAAAACATTAATATTAACTTTTCTATCATAACAAACTCTAGCTTTGAACCTTCCGTCGGTAACGTAGAGCGCAATCCTCACCACGGAAAACACATCTGTCGCCACAATATCCTACCGCACGAGCCACCTGTACGTGAGCTCAGTACTTCGCACAACTTCGGGAAATCGATAAAGAACGCTAGCGTGAGGCTTTCCTTTTTGCTCTTGTAACAGCTGAGATACAATCTCGCGATAATTGGCATACGATTGCAAGTCTCGACTGCCCCAGCATTTTTACTTTCCAGGATTTTAATGTTTCAAACGGCAAACAACGTGTATTTTAGTGGAGAATATGTAGAAATTCTAACAATATTGAAAAAGTTGTTCCTTGACACCGTAAAGTGAGAAAAACCCCCTAAAATTGATCCAGTTTTCAAACGGCCATAACTCCTACAATAGTAAATGGATTTGATTGAAATTTTTTTCTAAAGTAGAGCTCATGGGTACCTACAAAAGAGTATTAAACAACTTTTCCGTACAGTGCCAACCAAATTTATCAAAAATGAAACATGAATTTTTAAGAAAAATCGACGGAGGTTGGGTGCTTAAATTTTTCGACGAAAAAAAAAATTTCAAATTATTCTGGAAAAATTATTTTTGATTACAGGGGTCAATTATAATTATTTTTGGTGAATACATATACACCTGAAATCCTGCGCATTTTCGAGAAAAAAATTCAGAAAGAAGGCCAAATTTTTCGGCGCAATTGGAAAATTTCAAATCGTTCCAAAAAAATTATTTTTGGTTGCAGGGGTCAATTACAATGATTTTTGGTGAATACACATACATCCGAAATCCTACGCATTTTCGAAAAAAAAATTCAGAAAGAAGGCCAAATTTTTCGGCGCATTTGAAAAATTCCAAATCGTTCCAAAAAAATTATTTTTGGTTGCAGGGGTCAATTATAACTATTTTTTGTGAATAGACATACTCCCGAAATCTTACGCACTTTCGAGAAAAAAATTCAGAACGGTGCGTAAATTTTACGACGGAAAAAAAAATTTCAAATCGTTCTGGAAAAATTATTTTTGGTTGCAGGAATCAATTGCAATCATTTTTGGTCGATAGAGATATCCTCGAAATCTTACCCACTTTCGAGAAAAAAATTCAAAAATGTATGAAATTTTTCGACAAAATGAAAAAATTTCTAATCGTTCTGGAAAAATTATTTTCGTTTGCAGGGGTCAATTACAATCATTTTTGGTGAATAGACATACATCTGTAATCCTATATATTCTCGAGAAAAAAATTCCTGACCAAAAATCTAATGTGAGGCTAGAAATGCACCCCCAAAACATGCAAATATTTAAAATGCCATAACTTTTGAACGGATTGGGATATTTTAATGTTCCAAACGGCAAACAACGCGTATTTTGCTGAAGAATATGTAGAAATTCTAAAAATATTCGAAGAGTTGTTCCTTAACTCCGTAATGTGACAAAAAGCCCATAAAAATACACCAATATTCAAACGGCCATAACTCCTACAATAATGAATGGATTTGATTGAAATTTTTTCCTGGAGTTAGAGCACATGGGTACCTACAAAAAAGTATTAAACAACTTTTCCGTACAGTGCCAACCAAATTTATTAAAAATAAAAAACGAATTTTTAAGAAAAATCGACAGGTAGCCCCCCTTTTTCGGCGAAATTGAAAAATTCCAAATCGTTCCAAAAAAATTATTTTCGGTTGCAGGGGTCAATTATAATCATTTTTGGTGAACACACATATCCCTGAAATCCTACGCATTTTCGAGGAAAAAATTCAGAAAGGAGGTCAAATTTTTCGACAAAATTAAAATATTTCAAATCGTTCTGGAAAAATTATTTTTAGTTAAGGTGGTCGATTACAATCATTTTTGGTGAACACACATATCCCTGAAATCCTACGCATTTTCGAGGAAAAAAATTCAGAAAGGGGCCTTTGGTGCCTTTTTGCGACGAAATTGAAAAGTTTCAAATCATTCTGGAAAAAATATTTTCGGTTGCGAGGGTCAATTACAATCATTTTTGGTCGATAGACATACCCCAAAAATCCTAACCATATTCGAGAAAAAAATTCCTTACCGAAAATATAATGTCAGACCAGAAATGGCACTCGAAAATTTCTTGCGTATCTTTAAAACATCATAACTCCTGAACAGATTGGACAATTTTAATGTTTCAAACGGCAAACAACGTGTATTTTGATGAAGAATATGTAGAAATTCTAACAATATTGAAAAAGTTGTTCCTTGACCCCGTAATGTTACAAAAACTCCATAAAAATGGTCCAATTTTCAAACAGCCATAATTCCTGCAATAGTGAATATATTTCAATGATACTTTTTTCTGAAGTAGAGCTCATGGGTGCTTACAGAAAAGTATTAAACAACTTTTCTGTAGAGCGTCATACAAAGTTACTAAAAACAAAAACAAATTTTGTAGGAAAATCGACAGGTGCCTTTTTTCGACAAAATTAAAATATTTCAAATCGTTCTGGAAAAATTATTTTTAGTTGAGGTGGTCGATTACAATCATTTTTGGTGAACACACATATCCCTGAAATCCTACGCATTTTCGAGGAAAAAAATTCAGAAAGGGGCCTTTGGTGCCTTTTTGCGACGAAATTGAAAAGTTTCAAATCATTCTGGAAAAAATATTTTCGTTTGCGAGGGTCAATTACAATCATTTTTGGTCGATAGACATACCCCCAAAATCCTAACCATATTCGAGAAAAAAATTCCTTACCGAAAATATAATGTCAGACCAGAAATGGCACTCGAAAATTTCTTGCGTATCTTTGAAACATCATAACTCCTGAACAGATTGGACAATTTTAATGTTTCAAACGGCAAACAACGTGTATTTTGATGAAGAATATGTAGAAATTCTAACAATATTGAAAAAGTTGTTCCTTGACCCCGTAATGTTACAAAAACTCCATAAAAATGGTCCAATTTTCAAACAGCCATAATTCCTGCAATAGTGAATATATTTCAATGATACTTTTTTCTGAAGTAGAGCTCATGGGTGCTTACAGAAAAGTATTAAACAACTTTTCTGTAGAGCGTCATACAAAGTTACTAAAAACAAAAACAAATTTTGTAGGAAAATCGACAGGTGCCTTTTTTCGACAAAATTAAAATATTTCAAATCGTTCTGGAAAAATTATTTTTAGTTGAGGTGGTCGATTACAATCATTTTTGGTGAACACACATATCCCTGAAATCCTACGCATTTTCGAGGAAAAAAATTCAGAAAGGGGCCTTTGGTGCCTTTTTGCGACGATATTGAAAAGTTTCAAATCATTCTGGAAAAAATATTTTCGGTTGCGAGGATCAATTACAATCATTTTTGGTCGATAGACATACCCCAAAAATCCTAACCATATTCGAGAAAAAAATTCCTTACCGAAAATATAATGTCAGACCAGAAATGGCACTCGAAAATTTCTTGCGTATCTTTAAAACATCATAACTCCTGAACAGATTGGACAATTTTAATGTTTCAAACGGCAAACAACGTGTATTTTGATGAAGAATATGTAGAAATTCTAACAATATTGAAAAAGTTGTTCCTTGACCCCGTAATGTTACAAAAACTCCATAAAAATGGATCAATTTTCAAACAGCCATAATTCCTGCAATAGTGAATATATTTCAATGATACTTTTTTCTGAAGTAGAGCTCATGGGTGCTTACAGAAAAGTATTAAACAACTTTTCTGTAGAGCGTCATACAAAGTTACTAAAAACAAAAACAAATTTTGTAGGAAAATCGACAGGTGCCTTTTTTCGACAAAATTAAAATATTTCAAATCGTTCTGGAAAAATTATTTTTAGTTGAGGTGGTCGATTACAATCATTTTTGGTGAACACACATATCCCTGAAATCCTACGCATTTTCGAGGAAAAAAATTCAGAAAGGGGCCTTTGGTGCCTTTTTGCGACGATATTGAAAAGTTTCAAATCATTCTGGAAAAAATATTTTCGGTTGCGAGGATCAATTACAATCATTTTTGGTCGATAGACATACCCCAAAAATCCTAACCATATTCGAGAAAAAAATTCCTTACCGAAAATATAATGTCAGACCAGAAATGGCACTCGAAAATTTCTTGCGTATCTTTAAAACATCATAACTCCTGAACAGATTGGACAATTTTAATGTTTCAAACGGCAAACAACGTGTATTTTGATGAAGAATATGTAGAAATTCTAACAATATTGAAAAAGTTGTTCCTTGACCCCGTAATGTTACAAAAACTCCATAAAAATGGTCCAATTTTCAAACAGCCATAATTCCTGCAATAGTGAATATATTTCAATGATACTTTTTTCTGAAGTAGAGCTCATGGGTGCTTACAGAAAAGTATTAAACAACTTTTCTGTAGAGCGTCATACAAAGTTACTAAAAACAAAAACAAATTTTGTAGGAAAATCGACAGGTGCCTTTTTTCGACAAAATTAAAATATTTCAAATCGTTCTGGAAAAATTATTTTTAGTTGAGGTGGTCGATTACAATCATTTTTGGTGAACACACATATCCCTGAAATCCTACGCATTTTCGAGGAAAAAAATTCAGAAAGGGGCCTTTGGTGCCTTTTTGCGACGAAATTAAAAAGTTTCAAATCATTCTGGAAAAAATATTTTCGGTTGCGAGGGTCAATTACAATCATTTTTGGTCGATAGACATACCCCAAAAATCCTAACCATATTCGAGAAAAAAATTCCTTACCGAAAATATAATGTCAGACCAGAAATGGCACTCGAAAATTTCTTGCGTATCTTTAAAACATCATAACTCCTGAACAGATTGGACAATTTTAATGTTTCAAACGGCAAACAACGTGTATTTTGATGAAGAATATGTAGAAATTCTAACAATATTGAAAAAGTTGTTCCTTGACCCCGTAATGTTACAAAAACTCCATAAAAATGGTCCAATTTTCAAACAGCCATAATTCCTGCAATAGTGAATATATTTCAATGATACTTTTTCTGAAGTAGAGCTCATGGGTGCTTACAGAAAAGTATTAAACAACTTTTCTGTAGAGCGTCATACAAAGTTACTAAAAACAAAAACAAATTTTGTAGGAAAATCGACAGGTGCCTTTTTTCGACAAAATTAAAATATTTCAAATCGTTCTGGAAAAATTATTTTTAGTTGAGGTGGTCGATTACAATCATTTTTGGTGAACACACATATCCCTGAAATCCTACGCATTTTTGAGGAAAAAAATTCAGAAAGGGGCCTTTGGTGCCTTTTTGCGACGAAATTGAAAAGTTTCAAATCATTCTGGAAAAAATATTTTCGTTTGCGAGGGTCAATTACAATCATTTTTGGTCGATAGACATACCCCCAAAATCCTAACCATATTCGAGAAAAAAATTCCTTACCGAAAATATAATGTCAGACCAGAAATGGCACTCGAAAATTTCTTGCGTATCTTTGAAACATCATAACTCCTGAACAGATTGGACAATTTTAATGTTTCAAACGGCAAACAACGTGTATTTTGATGAAGAATATGTAGAAATTCTAACAATATTGAAAAAGTTGTTCCTTGACCCCGTAATGTTACAAAAACTCCATAAAAATGGTCCAATTTTCAAACAGCCATAATTCCTGCAATAGTGAATATATTTCAATGATACTTTTTTCTGAAGTAGAGCTCATGGGTGCTTACAGAAAAGTATTAAACAACTTTTCTGTAGAGCGTCATACAAAGTTACTAAAAACAAAAACAAATTTTGTAGGAAAATCGACAGGTGCCTTTTTTCGACAAAATTAAAATATTTCAAATCGTTCTGGAAAAATTATTTTTAGTTGAGGTGGTCGATTACAATCATTTTTGACGAATAGACATATCCCCGAATTCCTACACATTTTCGAGAAAAAAATTCAGTAAGGGGCCTAAATTTTTCGAGGAAAAAAAATCTTTCTTTCTTTTTTTAATAGTCACAATATAATCAGGGGATCTTAATACGTGTATTTCTGCTAAAAAAAATTTTCGAAATTTTTCTTTCATTATCACTAGATTTACGGAAGCCGTCAATTTGGCGGATGTTCGATTCCATATTTAAAATTGAAGAACGCGTAAATATTAGTTTTTAACAACTTATGTTTTTGATTGATGCAATGGCATGATTACATATTCTAATAAAAAGAAGAATCGTATTGTAAGGTAATCGTCAACATGAAAGGTATCAATAAACACATATACATCAATGCCTGTAAATCTAGTGTTACGTTACTTTCCTTATACCTTACGTAGGTCGGAAAGTAAAAATGCTGGCGCAGTCGAGACTTGGAATCGTATGTCGATTATCGCGAGATCGTATATCAGATATTACAAGAACAAGAAGGAAAGGCTCACACTACCGTTCTTTATCGATTTCCCGATGTTGTGCGAATACCGAGCTCACGTACACGTGGCTCATGCATTAGTATATGCCTGCTATCCCCACCATTCCGTTAGACGCTAAGGAAGTTCGTCGTCACTATCGTCGATTTCGATGCACTCAATCAAGCCCGGTCTGGCCACACTGATTATGCCAGATTTGGTTACACTGAGGGGCGCATCGTTCCTAAGAGGTTAACGATGCGCGAACGGTACGCGTCTCTGTGTTTTCTAATCATCTTATCGCAACACGTAGCGCTTGGTACGATCGACGTTAACGTAAACGAGCTGGAATATTTGGCAGCGCGACTCAATCCGTTCGAGTGTCGACGCTTAATTGCTGCTCTCCATTACACGAGTTACGAATTACCGAACAGCTTGGCAGCAGCTGGTAAATTAAATTTCAACCCTCGTCAGTTGCTGTGATCGATTGGCGAACGTTTCCACGTTTATGAACAGGTTTTCCATTATTTTAAAACACAGTACGCGACGTGGACGACGAGATCCCTTGTATTCGTCACCTGATCCACTGGAATGGTTCTCCAGCAGAGGGCAGGGGCAACACCCACGAAGCCCTGACTCACAGGCTGCGTCAGATTAATCGAAGCGACCTGGCGGATTGGTTAGGGAAATCTGCGTTCGCGCAATTGGGGAAAGACCTCGACAGAGCGGTCGCGAATGCGTTCGATAAGATCGAGAAAGAAGAAACGGAGCATTCGTGAGTAGATACAGTCAGTCCCACAAGTATTCGTACCCTCGTTGTTTGCAAGAGAAATTTCTTCAAATCGACGAATGCATTTAAAGTTTTGCGATGAATTTTTTAGGGTGTACTTCCGAAAAGGACATACCTCCAATCTTACGTATTTTGTCGTGCTGATGACGAGCATGATAGTGAAAATTGGCGCAAATTGAATTTCCATAACGAAAACCATAAAAAAACTATAAAAATAGTTTTTTTTATTTACTTCCGTAAATAATGAGAATTTTGAATAATACTTCAGATAAAAGTTGTAGATCCCATCAAAATACACATTTTATGCCCTATTGATTTTTGTCATAAAGATAGTACTTTCTGAGAAAAATGGTTTTGAATCGAATACCCTTTATTTTTTAGTTTTCGTGTGATAATTTCACTTTAATTTGTTTTTTTTTTATTGCAAACTATTTTTAGTTTTCATGATATTGTTCTATTCGCTTTGTTTTCGTTTTTTAGAACAAACAGGTTTATTTTTTAGTTTCTATGAGGTTGCTTTATTTAACAGTTTAAGTTTAGGTTTAGGTCTGTTAAAATTGAGGTTAAAAATCCAATGATACAGAAAACACGTGGGCGAGGGAGGAGCATTGCTGTATCTCTTTATAGATTTCTGGTGGATGAGGTATATGAAGTTTTGAACATTTAAAATCGTTTTTCTCAAAAACTATTGTCTGTATGACAAAAATCAATAGGACATAAAATGTGTATTTTGACGTGGGCTTCAACTTTTATCTGAAGGGTTTTTCAAAATTCTCGTTATTTACGGAAGTAAATAAAAAAACCATGATTTTTATGTTTTGAGTATTTAATATCGTTTTTCTCAAAAACTATTGTCTATATGACAAAAATCAATAGAACACAAAATGTGTATTTTGATGAGGTCTACAATTTTTATCTGAAGTATTTTTCAAAATTCCTATTATTTAAAGAAGTAAATAAAAATACCACGATTTTTATGTTTTGAGCATTTGATATCGTTTTTTTCAAAAACTATTGTCTGTATGACAAAAATCAATACAACATAAAATATGTATTTTGATGAAGTTTTCAACTTTTATTTGAAGTGTTTTTCAAAATTTCTATTATTTACTGAAGTAAATAAAAAAATCATGATTTTTATGTTTCGAGCATTTAATATCGTTTTTCTCAAAAACTATTGTCTGTAGGACAAAAATCAATAGGATATAGATTGTGTATTTTGATAAGGTTTTCAACTTTTATCTGAAGAGCTTTTCAAAATTCCCATTATTTACGAAAGTAAATTAAAAAACCATGATTTTTATGTTTTGAGCATTTGATATTGATTTTCTGAAAAACTATTGTCTGTGTGACAAAAATCAACACGACATAAAGTGTGTATTTTGATGAGGTCTACAACTTTTATCTGAAGTGTTTTTCAAAATTCCCATTATTTACGGAAGTAAATAAAAATACCATGATTTTTATGTTTTGAGCATTTGATATTGATTTTCTGAAAAACTATTGTCTGTATGACAAAACTCAATACGACCTAAAATGTGTACTTTGACGAGGTCTACAACTTTTATCTGAAATGTTTTTCAAAATTCCCATTATTTACGGAAGTAAATAAAAATACCATGATTTTCATGTTTTGAGTATTTGATATCGTTTTTTTCAAAAACTATTGTCTGTATGACAAAAATCAACATGACATAAAGTGTATATTTTGATGAGGTCTTCAACTTTTATCTGAAGAGCTTTTCAAAATTTCTATTATTTACTGAAGTAAATAAAAAAACCATGATTTTTATGTTTCGAGCATTTAATATCGTTTTTCTCAAAAACTATTGTCTGTATGACAAAAATCAATAGGACATAAAATGTGTATTTTGACGTGGTCTTCAACTTTTATCTGAAGGGTTTTTCAAAATTCTCGTTATTTACGGAAGTAAATAAAAAAACCATGATTTTCATGTTTCAAGCATTTGATATCGTTTTTTTCAAAAACTATTGTCTGTATGACAAAAATCAATAGAAAATAAAATATGTATTTTGATGAGGTTTTCAATTTTCATCTGAAGTGTTTTTCAAAATTCCTATTATTTACGGAAGTAAATAGAAAAACTATGATTTCTATGGTTTTTGTAGCAAAAAGTTTATTGCAAAATCTTACACGCATCGTTTGATTTGAACAAATTTCTCCTACAAGCAACGTAGGTCGAATACTTATGTGATTAACTGTATTTTCCCGTAAATAACTAATCCCAATCGAATGACAATCATTGCGACTGCAGTTTTCCTATAACACTCGAGCCCAGCGACGTTTACGAAGAAGAAAAAGATCCTTGGGCACAAATCGATATCGTTCTCCTGGCGATTTTACTCGGTTTATTCGGAACATTGGTAGCACTGATCTGCGCCACGATTTTCCACAGAATCAAACACCGTTTTCGCAAAACCAAATACAAGTAAACACCACCGAAGGAGTTGCATTCCATCAGTTTGTTTTCTATGATGTAGGAAAGAGAGGTTAGAAAATTTAATTACATGTGTTTAACGCGATAGAAAATTGAACCATAAAGAATCAGTCGACGAAAAGGGAAAAGCAGAGGGAAAGAAAAATAGGATGAAAGAGAGCCCTGAGAGCAGCGATGAAATCACTGATACCACTCGAGTGGATAGCGAAACGGAGACAGATCTTCACTGAGATTGATTATGTTCTCCATCATGGGGCACGCCGTTCTCCATTCCTTCGAATATTTTTGAAAATGCCACGTCGATCGTCTTATCCCAAGCAGCTTCCACTTCGGCGGAAAATTTCGTTTTTAAGGCATCTTTCATTACTTTCATCATCACGCCTTTTAAATCCTGAAATGTACAATAATATAATATTGTCGCGTTATGTATAATAAGAAGATAGATATATATCTGTTGCGACAGATTTTATCAATATTTATCTAATGGAAATGTTTGATTAGATTAACGAAGAACGTTGATAGTTGTCAATGTTGTTAGAGGATATACTATTGTATTGTATATACAGGGTGTTACGTTTAACCTCTTCACGCCCTTGGCCACATATGTGGACATTAGTTTTCTTTTCTTTTATAATTATAGTTACTGTCAATAATAAATAGACCTAAAAAAAGAAAAAAAAGAAAATTGTTCTTGAAGAGGTTAAGTGCGAATGAGGTATTGAAGGTATCAAAAAAGTGTTTTTAGAAAAGTTGATTTATTTAAAGGGACAAATTCGACGCCCTACTGCCTGTTAGGACTATCTGTTCCAACAGATTTTGTCAATATTTATCCAATGGAAATGTTCGATGAGAGTAATGACGAACGTTGATAGTTGTCAATGTTGTTAGAGGATATACTATTGTATTGTATATACAGGGTGTTACGTTTAACCTCTTCACGCCCTTGGCCACATATGTGGACATTAGTTTTCTTTTCTTTTATAATTATAGTTACTGTCAATAATAAATAGACCTAAAAAAAGAAAAAAAAGAAAATTGTTCTTGAAGAGGTTAAGTGCGAATGAGGTATTGAAGGTATCAAAAAAGTGATTTTAGAAAAGTTGATTTATTTAAAGGGGCAAATTCGACGACCTACTACCTGTTAGAACTATCTGTTCCAACAGATTTTATCAATATTTATTTAATGGAAATGTTCGATGAGAGTAATGGCGAACGTTGATAGTTGTCAATGTTGTTAGAGGATATACTATTGTATTGTATATACAGGGTGTTACGTTTAACCTCTTCACGCCCTTGGCCACATATGTGGACATTAGTTTTCTTTTCTTTTATAATTATAGTTACTGTCAATAATAAATAGACCTAAAAAAAGAAAAAAAAGAAAATTGTTCTTGAAGAGGGTAAGTGCGAATGAGGTATTGAAGGTATCAAAAAAGTGATTTGAGAAAAGTTGATTTATTTAAAGGGGCAAATTCGACGACCTACTACCTGTTAGGACTATCTGTTCCAACAGATTTTGTCAATATTTATCCAATGGAAATGTTCGATGAGAGTAATGACGAACGTTGATAGTTGTCAATGTTGTTAGAGGATATACTATTGTATTGTATATACAGGGTGTTACGTTTAACCTCTTCACGCCCTTGGCCACATATGTGGACATTAGTTTTCTTTTCTTTTATAATTATAGTTACTGTCAATAATAAATAGACCTAAAAAAAGAAAAAAAAGAAAATTGTTCTTGAAGAGGGTAAGTGCGAATGAGGTATTGAAGGTATCAAAAAAGTGATTTGAGAAAAGTTGATTTATTTAAAGGGGCAAATTCGACGACCTACTACCTGTTAGGACTATCTGTTCCAACAGATTTTGTCAATATTTATCTAATGGAAATGTTCGATGAGAGTAATGACGAACGTTGATAGTTGTCAATGTTGTTAGAGGATATACTATTGTATTGTATATACAGGGTGTTACGTTTAACCTCTTCACGCCCTTGGCCACATATGTGGACATTAGTTTTCTTTTCTTTTATAATTATAGTTACTGTCAATAATAAATAGACCTAAAAAAGAAAAAAAAGAAAATTGTTCTTGAAGAGGGTAAGTGCGAATGAGGTATTGAAGGTATCAAAAAAGTGATTTGAGAAAAGTTGATTTATTTAAAGGGGCAAATTCGACGACCTACTACCTGTTAGGACTATCTGTTCCAACAGATTTTGTCAATATTTATCTAATGGAAATGTTCGATGAGAGTAATGACGAACGTTGATAGTTGTCAATGTTGTTAGAGGATATACTATTGTATTGTATATACAGGGTGTTACGTTTAACCTCTTCACGCCCTTGGCCACATATGTGGACATTAGTTTTCTTTTCTTTTATAATTATAGTTACTGTCAATAATAAATAGACCTAAAAAAAGAAAAAAAAGAAAATTGTTCTTGAAGAGGTTAAGTGCGAATGAGGTATTGAAGGTATCAAAAAAGTGATTTGAGAAAAGTTGATTTATTTAAAGGGGCAAATTCGACGACCTACTACCTGTTAGAACTATCTGTTCCAACAGATTTTATCAATATTTATTTAATGGAAATGTTCGATGAGAGTAATGGCGAACGTTGATAGTTGTCAATGTTGTTAGAAGATGTATATACCGGGTGTCCAGCCACCAATGGGAAAAACTGTAATGGAAAATTCTAGAAGCCAAAATAAGACGAAAATCAAGAATATCAATTTCTTGATTGACGCATCGTTAGAAAGTTATTAAAAAATTAAATTAAACTGGAAAAATTATTTTCGTTTGCAGTGGTCAATTATAATCATTTTTTGTTAATAGATATACTCCCAAAATCCTACGCAGTTTCGAGAAAAAAATTTGAGTAGGTGCTGAAATTTTTCCACAAAATTAAAAAATTTCAAATCGTTTTGGAAAAATTATTTTTGGTTTCATGCAAAATTTCATGCAAATGTTTAAAATGTCATAACTTCTGAACGGATTGGAGGATTTTAACGTTTCAAAAGGAAAATAACGCGTATTTTAGTGACGAATATGTAAAAATTCCAACAATATTCAAAAAGTTGCTCCTTGACACCGTAAAGTTACAAAAACCCCATAAAAATGGTCCAATTTTCAAACAGCCATAACTCCTGCAATAGCGAATATATTTCAATGATACTTTTTTCTGAAGTAGAGCTCATAGGTACCTACAAGAAAGTTTTAAACAACTTTTCTATACGGCGTCAAACAAAATTACTAAAAATCAAAAATGAATTTTGAAGGAAAATCGACAGGTGCCTTTTTCGACGAAATTGAAAAGTTTCAAATCATTCTGGAAAAATTATTTTCGGTTGTGGGGATCAGTTACAATAATTTTTGGTGAATAGACCTACCCTCGAAATTCTATCCACTTTCCAGAAAAAAATTCAAGAATGTATGAAATTTTTCGACAAAATTAAAAAATTTCAAATCGTTTTCGAAAAATTATCTACGGTTGCGGGAGACAATTACAAACATTTTTGGATGAATAGACCTACCTTCGAAATCCTATCCACTTTCGAGAAAAAAATTCAAGAATGTATGAAATTTTTTGACAAAATTAAAAAATTTCAAATCGTTTTGGAAAAATTATTTTTGGTTGTGGGGGTCAATTTCAATCATTCTTGGTGAACACACATACCCCCCCAAATCCTATCCACCTTCGAGAAAAAAATTCGTGTAGCTGAACAAATTTTATCAATAATTTTGTTAATTACTTTTTAACGAAGCCTCAATCAACAAATTGGTATTCTTGATTTTCGTCTTATTTTGGCTTCTAAAATCCCCCATCAAAATTTTTCCCAGGGGTGGTCGAACACCCTGTATATTTAACACACAGTGTTAAGTCTTTACCCTTCCACAATGGAACAAAGTATCCATTTTAATGGAGTAAAAAGAAAAGTAAATAAACTTACGATAAACTCTTGTCTACTTTGACCCCTTCTGCCGTGCCTTTGTCCAGTAGAAAGCAAAGTCTCATTCATCAGGCAAACGTCGTCCAACGCACAGAAAGCATTGTTTAGGGTGCTGATAATAAATTGGCAATGCGCTCTAAACTTGTTGTTAGTTGGTAATTCATCCACTGGTATATCCTTAAACGCGTGGAATACTTTCTGGTATTGTGGGTACTGCTTAAAATAACTGAAATAAATCACAAGTGATTATTTTTACCAATATACATTGTGCAAAATAAGTTCCCGGAATTTCTCACTTTCAAATCCCACAGTGCATTTATTGAAACAAATTTTTGTGTGTAAGTAGGCAACATTGTATTCAGTTGGTACGCTAAATTTGATCGCAATATGAGAACCAGTGTGTTCACGGCAGTTATTTACACCAGTCGATCTCGAGTGTGCTCTGCGATTTTTGCGATGGAAAGAACTGTCGAGCAAAGAATTTGCCTTAAATTTTGCGTTTCTAACGAAATTTCTTGCGTCGAAGCGTTAAAAATGTTGCAGAAAGCCTATGGTAAGTGGTGCTTATCAGAAACGCAAACATACGAATGGTGCAAGGCATTTAAAGAGGGCCGAGAAGAAGTGCAAGGTTTGCCGCGTGCCGGCCGACCAATGGTTTCGACCGACGAAAACATCGAAAAGATAAAAAAAATGATCATCGATAATCGTCGCCTGAGTGTTAGAGAGGTGGCTCATGAAGTGGAAATGCCCCACATATCCGTTCATAACATTTTAACTGAAGTTTTGGGCACGAGACGCGTCGCTGCACGACTTGTTCCGAAGGAGCTGAATCTTCTGCAAAAAGAACATCGAAAAGCAGTTGTTGAAGACATGATTTCACGAGCTTCTAGTGACTTTACCTTCACGAAACGCATCAGAACCGGTGACGAAACATGGGTTTATGAGTACGATACGCAAACAAGTCAACAATCTTCGGAATATCGCTTAGAAAATGAACCAAACCCTAAAAAACCTCGTCAAAGTCGCTCGAAAATGAAGGTGATGCTCACCGTTTTCTTTGATTATCGTGGTGTTGTTCATTCGGAATTCCTTCCAGATGGACAAACAGTAAATAAAGAATATTATTTGAGAGTCACGAGACGCTTGCATGAAAATATTCGTCGGAAACGGGCGGATGCGTGGAAAAACAATTCTTGGATTCTGCACCACGATAATGCTTCGTCGCACACATCGATCTTGGTACGCGAATTTTTGGCCATGAACTCAACAAATGTGATCGAACAAGCACCGTGTTCATCAGATATGGCCCCCTGTGACTTTTTCTTGTTTCCGAAACTCAAATTACCCCTTCGAGGATGGCGTTTAGAGTCGATAGAGGCCATACAAGAAAATATGCAGAAGGAGCTGAAGGCGCTACTTTCTTCAGCATTTAAAAAGTGTTTTGAATACAGATAGAAGCGTTGGCGTATGGGCATTGCTTCTGATGGGGCCTACTTTGAAGGCGACAAAATAAATTTCAAGGCGAGGTTAGGGTTTCGGGGGAATTAAGAAGGGGAAAAGGAGATGATGGGGGTAGGAGAAGGAATTAAAAGAGTAGAAAGGAGGGGAATAACTGGAGTAAGGAACAGGAGACAGGTGGAAGTAGGAAATAGAGAATTTAAAAATTAAAAAATAGAAGATAAATGGTGTTATTACGAAGCCGATAGTGTCAGTATCGCATCCAAAAAAATAGAAAATAAATTTGGATGACCAAGTTAGTTAATTAGAGTTTTATTTACAAATTCCAGGTACTTATTTTACATACTGTACATAAGTAGAAAATTTCACCTTGACATAATGGCGACGCCAGTATTAACAGAATCCGCATTGAGTATGCTCCAAGTTTCTTTTACGAGTCTCTTTTCCTTTCCTGTTAATCCGATGTTTGGATCAATGACGTCATCGTTGGGATGTCCGTAAAAATTACTTAATATGGAACCCATTTTGAAAATGTTTAATTACGAATTGATTCTCTTTAATTACAACTGTCGTGAAATTCTTGTGAATTCTCCGGTTTAGAGTATTATTATCACTGAATCACTGATCTTGCTGACTAGTTTTTCTATAGCGATCGAACGAAGCATTCCTTTCTAGACTGTTACTTGCACGACTGACTTGTCCAAGCGCCAACCATGACTCGAAACGCCTGACCGAAATGCAGAACGATAAGAGGATCTCATCCGTCATTTGGTCACGTAGTTCTCCTCTATCTCAAGTGAAATCGCAATAACCAGTTAGCTGTTACCGACGAGTATACTCGTCATGAAAAAAGTGCAAAATTTTGTGTTACGACGAGTATATTCGTCATGAGTAATAAGTAGCGACAATTTGCAGTTTGAATTGCAATTTTAGTGAAAACTAAAATCTATTCGTAAACTTGAAGACGTTTGAAATATTTTTAGACCCGTCGATATAAGAGGAACAAATAAAAGTTTATGAATAATTAATATAAAAAAGACCGCATATAGTATGAATTATTTTTCGTAAATGTATCGTTGTCTTTTATTAAGCATCACAGAAGCATATACGGAGTCATATATTGGTGTTCAATGTGCGAAGTTCCATTATACATTGTACCATGGTTTGCTCAATACCATTCTCTAACAGCACGTTAAAGTTAGAAATTGATTTTTCATGTTTTCTTTCGTTCGTATGCAAAATATTTATGTTAATTTAAGTAAATAAATAAATGTGGGTAATGAAATAAAAAAATAAAAGTCATTTTGTTACAATCTAATATCATATTACACGTATTTTGTGTTTGACGAGTATACTCGTTATCGATACATTACTGCGTCACAATTTAGATACGCATTTTCCAACGAGGTCGAAACAGTTAACTGGATTTGTAGTCAGGTTCTCGTAAGAATAGTACTCCCTTTTCAGACAACAATGTAAGCCAATGGGTCCTAGGTTTACGATAGGCAGGTTTACCCATCTGTTTCAACCGACTTTTTGTGGAAAACGAGGAAATGAACCTTTCTTTTAACTTCATTTTGAGAACATGACCTCGCAAAGTAAAATACATTGCAGAAGTCAAACTGAATAACAATGACAAAGACATTGGTCAAATTTCGATATTAAGGGGTGATACCACTGTAAAAACCTGAAATAAAGCGTTTCTTTGCGATTTTTTTTTGAATGGATGGAAAAGTAAGATTAACCACGTCGTTAATTGTTAAAAAAAATACATTTATTCAAAAAGAATGCAAAATAACGACGCTGGAGCCACTCACGCGAGGCGCTTGGACCAGAGGCTCTCTCTATCACGCAGTGTAACTGACGTAAATTTGTATCTGGAAAAAAACAAAAAATTTTCTCTCGATCTAGACTAGTATAGCTAGAAAAATACGCAGGGGATTTTTGAAACATCAATTTTTACGTGATTGGCGAGCACTTGCGCCTCAAATTCAAAACACACCTCGCGAGAAATGGCTCCAGCGTCGTAATTTTGCACTATTTTTGAATAAATATTTATTTTTTAACACTCAACGACGTGGTTAATCTCACTTTTCCATCCATCCAAAAAAAAATCGCAAAGAAACTCTTTATTTCAGGTTTTTACAGTGGTTTTGTCCCTTAACCATTTTCATCCACAACCTATTCCCATGAAATCAAACTTCTTACCATCGATTATTTATCTTTTGTTCCTACACGCGAATAATGTACTTCTATTTCTGTCGGATATTTTCAGAGATTCTAGAATTTCATAGAAAAATCGTGTATTTCGTTTCTGACGAGCTTTTTCATTCCAATTTCCTAATGTTTTATTCTTTTTTTATGAATGAATGGAAAAGTAAGATAATAATATTCAAGAATGTTATTAACCATGTCGTTAAGTGTAAAAAAATATATTTATTCATAAAGAATGCAAAATAACGACGCTGGAGCCATTCATGCGAGGCGCTTGGACCAGAGGCTCTCTCTATCACGCAGTGTAACTGACGTAAATTTGTATCTGGAAAAAAACAAAAAATTTTCTCTCGATCTAGACTAGTATAGCTAGAGGAATACGCAGGGGATTTTTGAAACATCAATTTTTACGTGATTGACGAGCACTTGCGCCTCAAATTCAAAACAGTATACTCGTCAGAAACAGTTAATTAGTTATTATGATTTCACTTGACATAGACGAGAACTATGTGACCAAATGACAGATGAGATCCTCTTCCTTTTTTCATATTTCATATTTTGTTAAAAATTTGCTGCTATTGCAGTTCTTGGTCATGATTTAGAAAATTTAATAATTAATCAATTCGTCATCAACGTCAATCAACATTTATTGACTGCGAGTTTCAAAATATTTTTACTTCAAAATACAAAGTGGAAAACGTAGAAACGCTTTAAAAAATCACTATAAATATCCTCGTTGCTTATAAACAGAGAAGAAAATGTTACGAGTAAAACTTGTACTATTTAACGACGTAAATATAACGCGAAAAAATAAATTTTTTTCCCCGCAGTAAATTTTTGAAATTTGAGAATCTCGACTTACAAAAAACAAAAAATTCAAAATTTTGTTCCTATATCCTTATAAAGCGTAAAAAATGGAATTCAAAGAGGTGCTAAAATGTATGATAGCGGGTTAGAAAAATACCAAATTTTCAACTGCAATTGCCACGTTTTCCCAATTGTTCGATCAATTTCAGATTTTGCATATTTTTTCATCTAGTGTGACAATTTCTGTGGGTGTGTCAAAAAAAATTTTTCATCAAGTATAAATAAGGTCCACCCTGACTGGAGCAGGTATGGCAAAAAATCTCGGATCAACCTTGAATGACGAGAAGGCAAGAGTTTCAATAGCTGCAACTGGTAAATCACTGAAACATTCGACGCGAAATTACTGGCGTCATATATCCAAGAATCGTATCTGTAGATACAGGAAGATTATTAATGTAAAAAAGTAAGTAATTTATAGAATGTAACTGATATTAATCCAAGGTGGCATGCTAGTACAAAACTTCACCAGTATTGTGTAGTACTATCTGAAGAATACGATCGATAATCAATTATCATTTGTTCGCTCTTGGCGATGATTTAAGCCGTGACAACAAAAAGAGTTGTTATCTATAGATCGACGAATACTATCATTGTCTTTTACTCAAGAAATGTTCACTTATCTACCGACGGATTGAAAATTTATAAAATGGATGAAGGCGGTGTTATTACTGCTAGTTCTATGATAACCATACCACGAGTACGCCACCCCGGAATCTATACAAGGGAAATTGATCTTCAAATTTCGGATTGCTGCATACTTTTCCCTAACACCGTATCGCAAACTACAACAGGTGAGCGGTCGTCACAAAATGTTTTAGTAGCAAGCTTATTTAGGTGTAAGACCACTGTAAAAACATGAAATGAAGAGTTTCTTTGCGATTTTTTGGGGGGTGGATGGAAAAGTGAAATTAACCACGTCGTTAAGTGTTAAAAAAAATATATTTATTCAAAAATAGTGCAAAATTACGACGCTGGAGCCATTTCTCGCGAGGTGTGTTTCGAATTTGAGGCGCAAGTGCTCGCCAATCACGTAAAAATTGATGTTTCAAAAATCCCCTGCGTATTCCTCTAGCTATACTAGTCTAGATCGAGAGAAAATTTTTTGTTTTTTTCCAGATACAAATTTACGTCAGTTACACTGCGTGATAGAGAGAGCCTTTGGTTCAAGCGCCTCGCATGAATGGCTCCAGCGTCGTTATTTGGCATTCTTTATGAATAAATATATTTTTTTACACTTAACGACATGGTTAATAACATTCTTGAATATTACTATCTTACTTTTCCATTCATTCAAAAACAAAGAATAAAACATTAGGAAATTGGACTGAAAAAGCTCGTCAGAAACGAAATACACGATTTTTCTATGAAATTCTAGAATCTCTGAAAATATCCGACAGAAATAGAAGTACATTATTCGCGTGTAGGAACAAAAGATAAATAATCGATGGTAAGAAGTTTGATTTCATGGGAATAGGTTGTGGATGAAAATGGTTCAGGGACAAAACCACTGTAAAAACCTGAAATAAAGCGTTTCTTTGCGATTTTTTTTTGGATGGATTGAAAAGTGAGATTAACCATGTCGTTAAGTGGTAAAAAAAATATATTTATTCAAAAATAGTGCAAAATTACGACGCTGGAGCCATTTCTCGCGAGGTGTGTTTCGAATTTGAGGCGCAAGTGCTCGCCAATCACGTAAAAATTGATGTTTCAAAAATCCCCTGCGTATTCCTCTAGCTATACTAGTCTAGATCGAGAGAAAATTTTTTGTTTTTTTCCAGATACAAATTTACGTCAGTTACACTGCGTGATAGAGAGAGCCTTTGGTTCAAGCGCCTCGCATGAATGGCTCCAGCGTCGTTATTTGGCATTCTTTATGAATAAATATATTTTTTTACACTTAACGACATGGTTAATAACATTCTTGAATATTACTATCTTACTTTTCCATTCATTCAAAAACAAAGAATAAAACATTAGGAAATTGGACTGAAAAAGCTCGTCAGAAACGAAATACACGATTTTTCTATGAAATTCTAGAATCTCTGAAAATATCCGACAGAAATAGAAGTACATTATTCGCGTGTAGGAACAAAAGATAAATAATCGATGGTAAGAAGTTTGATTTCATGGGAATAGGTTGTGGATGAAAATGGTTCAGGGACAAAACCACTGTAAAAACCTGAAATAAAGCGTTTCTTTGCGATTTTTTTTTGGATAGATTGAAAAGTGAGATTAACCATGTCGTTAAGTGGTAAAAAAAATACATTTATTCAAAAATAGTGCAAAATTACGACGCTGGAGCCATTTCTCGCGAGGTGTGTTTCGAATTTGAGGCGCAAGTGCTCGCCAATCACGTAAAAATTGATGTTTCAAAAATCCCCTGCGCATTCCTCTAGCTATACTAGTCTAGATCGAGAGAAAATTTTTTGTTTTTTTCCAGATACAAATTTACGTCAGTTACACTGCGTGATAGAGAGAGCCTCTGGTCCAAGCGCCTCGCATGAATGGCTCCAGCGTCGTTATTTTGCATTCTTTATGAATAAATATATTTTTTTACACTTAACGACATGGTTAATAACATTCTTGAATATTATTATCTTACTTTTCCATTCATTCATAAAAAAAGAATAAAACATTAGGAAATTGGAATGAAAAAGCTCGTCAGAAACGAAATACACGATTTTTCTATGAAATTCTAGAATCTCTGAAAATATCCGACAGAAATAGAAGTACATTATTCGCGTGTAGGAACAAAAGATAAATAATCGATGGTAAGAAG